AGCAGGAACACTGACGCGTGGTTTCCAGCTGGAGAACTTCTGCCAGAACCAGCTCACCCAGGAGCTGAACGCCATCAACCAGAAGCTGCGCGTTCAGGATCGCCAGGGCGAGAGTCTCTCCAATCGCGTCACCAACATCGCCCGCCGTCATGACATCGATACTGCCAACGCAAACCGTAACAACATGCTGCTGATGGCACGCCTGGAGAGGCTCGAGAACATCGAGAAGGACGACCACAGCGACCTGATCGAGGCGCTGCGCAAGACATACACCCAGCAATTGGCTCACGTCACCAAGCAGCTGAACGAGGAGACCAAGCGGCGCGAAAAGCAGGCCTCCAAGCACGAGGAGCTGATGTCGAGGCAGAGCCAGCGCCTGCAAGACGCCCTCGAGCAGCGGGACGAGAACGCCAAAGTTGTGAAGAAGGTCCTGGCCCAGCAAGATGAGACGACCAAGAAGCTGAGCGAGGCCGTCCAGCAGCGCGACGATCTCGCCCAGCAGAACCTGCAGCTGCAGGGCGTCGTCGAGCACCGCGACAAGATCGCCCTGGAGCTGCAGAACGCTGCAGGCGAGTTCGCCAAGCAGCAGGAGGTGCTCGCCCAGCAGGACGAGCAACTTCAAAATGCCGTGAAGCAACGCGACGAGGTCGCCAAGATCAACATGACCCTGCAGGCCGAGCAGGACAAGACCAAGAAGCAGTTGCAGAAGGCCAAGGCTGTCCTCGCCAACGCCAAGGGTGAGCTGAAGAAGACTAAGGACGAGAAAGAAGGTCCTGCCGAAAAGGCGTCCGATACCGTTTTGCAGAATACCCAGGCCGCTCTCGCAAAGACAGAGGGTGAGCTGAAGGAGCTGCAGGAGTGGAAGGTCGCCGCGGCCAAGGAGTATTGGGAGTTGGCCGAGTATACCGACTTCATCTTGAAGGAAGGCCGAAGCCTGAATGAGCAGCACGAGAGCCTCCAGAAGGAGTGCACGGAGCTGAAGGCGACGCTCAAGGATGCCCAGGCGAAGAGCAAGAAGCGCTGGGACATGTACAAGGACCTGAGGCGCGATATGAGCCAGGTCAAGCGCGCCACTGTCCGCACCAAGTCGGAGCTGGAGTCGCTGAAGGACAAGTACACCAAGCTTGTCCAGTCAACTCCCGACTCGACAGACGACGTCGATGACAAGGCCGCAGCCCCCCAGAGCCAGACCCAGAAGGATGACAGCAGCCTGAAGGCAGTCACAGTGGGGGGTTTCGACGGAAAGGTCGTGATCTCGAATGAGACTGGTCGTCGCGAGCAAGAAGAGGATGAGGAGGGCGACGTGGCGAGTGCGTTGACTGGGGATGCTCTCACGAGCACTACCCATGAGCAGGAGCCGCCGAGCCCTCCCTCTCCTTCGAGCAAGCAGCCAGCTCACCAAGAGATCACCCTGGATGTCGAGACCCAGGGTCAGTCTGCCTCGACCTCGGCAGACAATGAGGATCTGCCTGTCGTCGCGGCCAACACCGAGCCCGACGACGATGGTCCTCATGAAGACCCCAAGGCCACAGATGTGGCTCTCATTGTTGACGTGTCGGGTTCGCCCGCTCAGGTTGCTGAAGACTCCTCGCAGCCGCCAGTCCAACTGGGCCTCGGCCCCTCAACCCGTCCCCCTTCCCCTCCACGCACTCCAGAGGGCCAGAAGAGCCCAGAGCAGACGAAGCAGCAGAAGGAGGAGCCAGAGACGGCGGGCGCGCTTCACTTCGAGGACGACATATATAATTCTTCTCCGATCAAGGAGAAGAAGTCGTTCCCGAAGGCGGATGAGTCCAAGCCAAGCCCTCCCAAGGAGGAGGGCGGACCATCCGGGGTCAATGTTGAGGGGAACATCAAAGATGTTTCTCTCATCAGAGATCAGAAGTCGTGCCCAAAGTCGGATGAGACGGAGAATGCGGACGACTTTGAGGACGTCACCTATAAAGATGCTGCCGTCAAAGAGCTGGCGTTGTCGCCAAAGCCAAATGTTTCCGATGTTGTAAGTATTCCCCAGGAACAGGGCAGATGTTTCATCACCAATCATGGAGACAGCTTCATGAGGCAGGTCGACGAGGAGATGACGACTAACCAATGTCCTCTTCAGCAGGAATTCGTCGCCCAGCCCACCAGCTGCGAGAGCATCGAGGTGGCCCATATCGTCGACCAAGGTCAGCAGCCCGAGGACGTTCTCTTCAACAATGGAGACGTGGCCATGGAGGGAGTTCAGATGGAGAACTACCCGTCCAGCAGCAGCCAGGAGGACAAGGGCAAGATGATGGCGCCTCTCGCGGAAGCCTTCCGTTCCCTTGCCATCAGAGATGAGGACGACGAGATGGAGGACCAGGCCGACGATATCGACAACACGGAGACAGGCCCTACCAGTATCGACAAGGGCAAGGGCAAGATGATATACAGCCCGCAGCCTGTCCAGATTGAGGACGTCGATATGGAGCCTGTCGAGTCGGCTCTACCAGCTGAAGACCCTGCTGGTAGTTATTCTATGGGCAAGGAGGACGTGAACCAGGGTCATAATATGGAGACCCAGGCTACCACCACGGAGGGGGATGTCGACATGGCGATGAATATCGACCCAGTCGAGCAGACCCCAGGCCCTGCCAGTATCGGAGATGGCGAGCCAGGTCCCAGCTCCGTCTTCCCCTCTTCCTCCTCCTCCTCCTCCCTTCCAGCGCCTCCAACAAATGAGGCTCCTATGAGCACCACCACCGCAGGTCACAGCGGTGGAATCAAGTTCGACGGCTTCAAGTTCGACACCACGGGCTTCCAGTTCGGCGCCAGCGCCCCGCGCCCCTTCGTCTCGTTGCCTGTGCCCGCCGCCAAGCCGAGCCCAGGATACCAGAGGATCCTGGACCGGATGAACGCGGCGAGAAAGACCAAAGCCGTCGACACAGGTGCTCAGGACACCACAGAGAGCAGCGCCGGCCCCAGCACCGAGCCTGCCAGTGCGGGAGCGACCACGGCGGCGCTCCCAGGTGACGAGCCAGGCACTCACGGGATGTCTGACGAACAGGTGAATCTCCTGGACCAAGATATTCGGGGCATCGAGGTCGCCGTCTATCGGTCCCGCGCCATGGAGATCATCAAGCAGGGCATAGGGTCTACGGAGGTGAGAAACCCCAGAGCAGGCTCTCAAACATTGTGCAGAACTGACCATTCCTTCCTACCACAGGACGTCGACCTCGACAACTTCACCGTCCGGTCGGTCGGTCGCCAGACCGCCCTCAGGCTGCAGGAGCTCGCCGATGCAGCCTACGGTACTGGCGACTGGGCCGGACGGGAAGAGTTGGAGGACGCGCCCGCCGAGCGCAAGATCCTCACACCCAAGGGGCCGCGAGCCAAGACGCCAGAAGCAGGGCCGCAGGACACAGCGGTCTCCCCTGCGGAGGCAACCAAGCCGGCTCCTAGCGAGCCTGCGGCAGAGGCCCAGGCCAAGGAGGCGGGGAGGAACTTGCTCGCGGCCGTCGCCGCCATATCGACGCGCGCCACAGAGGCTGGGGTAGAGGAAGGCGGCGAGGGCGTGGACGAGTCCGGGGACAAGCCCGAACCCACTCCCGCCCTCGCCGGCCCCTCCGCGCGCGCCATGATCAAGAGGCCGCGCGGGAGGCTGGGCAACTTCTCCAAGGAGGCGCTCCAGGAGATGAAGGAGGCTGAGGAGAAGAAGGCCCAGGAGCTGAGGGAGGCCACGGCAGCGGGCCGCAGGACCCTCTACAGCTCGGAGTACTTCCTCTACCTCCGAGAACACATGTCGCACATGTCCACGATGGTCAAGCTCTGGCGGGACCTGACGGACCAGGACACCCTCTGGGCGCGGGAGGTCTCGAACCACGCGCACACCCGCGGGGAGGAGGGCTTCCGCGAGTGGCTGCCGGCCCACCGCGCCCACACCGTCCTGTTCACCCGGCAGGACCTCCAGACCATGATCGGCATGTTCTTCAAGGAGGCGGTGTGGCTCGAGATCGAGGAGATCTTCGAGGTCGACAAGGAGGATATGGCGGTGCATCGCGAGATGTACATGACCGAGTTCGAGGCATACCTCGACGCCAATGAGCCCGATGAAGGGCCGCGCAGGTAGAAAGCCGAGAGCCGTTCATGTGCATCTCACGGTGGGGAGGAGGGAGGAGGAGGAGAGATGGGTCGGTGAGGGTGGTGAGTGGTGGAATGAAATGTTTGATTATGAAGAAAAAAGGCAGGGGGGCCGAGAGCAAAACAGGCCAGGCTGATTGTTTTATTACCCCTGCGTGTGTACAAGTATGGTTTGATTGTTGGATTACTGGCTGGTGGCATTATCATGAAGGAATGATCCAGCCCACACCTATTTCATGCCCTTCAAATGAAAAAGGGCTATGATGAGAAGGCACTTGGTATGCCTGGAATAGGCTGAGAGAACTTTACGAATCAATGACTTTTCTTCTCTCATGAATGGCCCTACTCTGCAGTATGTACAACTTGACTGCCATTGTAGCCAAGGTCATACATTTCGATGCTTGGAACAGAAAGTTATTCCTCACCCTTTTGATGCCACCTCTATTCTTTGTTTGCTCCTCTCAACACATATATACATACATTCAAGATTGCTGTTTCTAAACTTTTGCGCAGAGGTTGGAAACAAGTTCGAATGTTTGCTGGAATGTTGCTCATATTATTATCATCTGATCTGTTTCCCCTGGATAAGCCTGATATTGCATTTTGCAAAAGGTTTCGCACGATTTGTTTGATGTGTTGCCAGATGATAGGCCTGGAGTTTCCTCTTTAGTATTGTGCTATAGAAAAGCTTATTCCAAATGATCTTTATGCTGCTCTATTCCAAGACAAAGATCCTAACCATCAATGATCACTTTTCCTAAGATAGCATGAGCATCTACTTGTTGGCATATTTCTTTGAGACCATTTGACAACTTGGGCGAACAACAGTTGAGAAACAGCAGCTGCTACAAGGCTTCCTCGAGAAAATGGTAATCTTTTTCGTGATAACGGACAAGTCGATTCTACCAGCGGTCCACCGACACCTCAGGGTATATCGTCGTCAATAGCTAATTGCGTTGAGCTTTTTATCACAATCTCTGCCCAAATGGCGATCAAAGCGTAATGTAGAGGGGAGGTAAGCAGACGGTACGACTATTTGTCTGGATACGTAAATTCTTGAGAGACCACCATCATCTTGTGTCTTGTGCGACTTGAGCTTTCACCTCTCCAGTACATACATAGGATAGGCAAGTGGAAGCGTAACGCAGACAGCAATCAATGTTGCTAGGCCTGTGAATAATGAATCTGTCTATTCAGCCATGCATGTTCTGCTCTCAATCCCCATCCACCTACGGCCCCGACTCCTCCTCATCCATAATCCCCTCCTCGCCGCCCGTCCTCCCAGGCCCAACAACATCCTTCCCGCTCCCCTTGGCCCTCACCCCAGCCCTCCCAATAACGCCTGTCCCCCTAAACGCCACAGCAACAACACACAAACTAGTCGCCCCAAACGCAAAGTTCAAGTACTGCGCAGCCTGCAGGCCCTTGAGAGTAGGCCGGTCCCACGTCTCGAGGGAGCCCGAGTGGGCCACCGAGGTGTGCCTGTCGTGGGCCATAACAGCAGTCTGCACAGCAGTGGCAACAGCAAGGCCAATGGCACGACCAAACTGGCCGACGGCGTTGACAAGGGCGCCACCCATGGCCTGGTCGGCTTGGGGCAGAGAGTGCGAGGTGAAGAGGGTCAGACACGGCCAGGCGGTGTCTGCCCCGAGGACAGAGAGAACCATGGCGGGGAGGCCGTAGGCAAAGTACGTAGTAGTGGCGGCGGGGATGGGCACGGCGAAGAGGAGGCACGAGATGGAGCAGCAGAGGTTGCCGAACAGGAGCAGCCCCTGTGTCGGGAGGACGGCGATGAGCTTGCCTGTTATGGCGGCTGTGAGCACGCCGACCACGCCGGTGGGGATGAAGCGCAGGGTGGTCTGGATGGGGCTAAGGCCTTGGTAGTCTTGGAAATAATATGTGGCGAAGATGAGATAGCCGTTAAAGCAGGCAAAGAACAGGCCCATGATGACCATGGCGGCGCTGAAGCGGCGATTCTTGAAGATGGACACCTTCATGAGCGGCGTCTGGGTGCCCTTGTTCTCGAGATGTCGCTGCCACAGGACAAAAATGACGACGAGGATAAGAGACACCACAATCAGCACGGGCACCCAGGGCGTCGACCAGCCCACGACATTCCCCTCAGTGAGCGCAAACAACAGAATCATCAGCCCTGCCGTGATGAGAATGGCACCGACCCAGTCGATGGTGGCCTTGGCCGTGACACCCTGCGCGTGGGGCGTGACGACGGGCGGCGGGATAACAAAATAGCCAGCGACCGTCACGGCCACTGCGAGGATGGCCAGCGCCCAAAACACCCACGTCCAGTGCGCATACGAGGCAATCAGGCCGCCCAGCAGGTTCCCACAGATGGACCCCATGGGCGCACCGGCAGCATACGTCGAAAAGGCATAGTTCTTGGCCCTGCCAGGCGGGAATGTCGTGCCAAGAATGCCAATGGCCGTGGGGACGTTGGCGGCAGCCCCAAGGCCCTGGAGGCCGCGGAAGAGGTCAAAGGCGATCTCGTTGGGGATGACAGGGTTGACGGCCGTGGTGATGGCGACCCAGGCAGAACCGAGGACGAAGATGGTGCGCTTGCCGTAGACGTCGGCGATGCGGCCCCAGAGGAGGAGGAAGCAGCCAAAGGTGAGGGAGTAGGCGGAGACGATCCACTGCTGGCGGGAGTCGGGGATCGAGAGATCTCGTCCAATCGTGGGGAGAATGATCACGACGGCCTGGATGGAGAGGGTCTGTTGATATGTATGTCTTGTTAGCTGGAAAATGGTTTGGGTGGTGTAAAGGTTTCGAAGGGCGGTGGGAAGGAAGGAAAAAAGAAGAGGCAAACTTGCATTGAGAAAACTGGCGCCGGTGACGGTGGCAACCAGAGCAATAGCCTTTGCTTTCGATATAGCCAATACAGGCTGCGACCTCTGGCTGAAGGCATCATTATTGTTGTTGTTGTCATCGTCTTCTGTCGAGGTTCCATTGCCAGATTCATCCGAGGTCGGCATCAGCTCCTTTTCTCCTGGTCCCGATGGCAGCAGTTCGGACTCGTTCCTCTCGACAAGGCCTCCTCGCCCAACGTCCACCTCGCGCAACATCGTGAATTGCCTGAAAAACAAGCAAGCAGGCTCAAAATATGACAGTGCCTGTCTCACGTTGGCGTTGAGGTAGAAAGAGACTGGGACGGAACCAGGATGCCGGCTCGAGTTGTTCCTAGGTGCCCCTACGGAATTATCACGGAAAGTGAAAGACTTCTTATCCCGGCGTTTTTCTTTAGCGGATATCGGAGAGTTCCGAGCGTGAATCTATCGCTTAACGGCTTTCGCCTCTTTCCTCTTTTTTTTCGCCTCCGTCCTTTTGTCTTTCTCTCACTTTAGTCTCGGGCTTTGACCCTGCTAGTAGTTTGCCATTTGGGGTGACTGTGACGTGACTGGGATTGTTCTGTAAGTAAGTAGTTTCGAGCTTCGCAAGCCGGGTTCATATTTCTTTTCTTGCTGACCATCCGAAACAGTTTTTCCTACTTTCCTTCTTTCCATTTCAAGAGATGTAAGATATCAAGGTACATATGATGATGGCAGCACATTGAATCAAGGTCACTCAATTATGGGGAAAGCATATTCCCCTCTTTCGCCTGACAGAAAATGTGCCGGCAGCTGCGTGTCGTGTCAAGGCACCTTTCATGTCCGCATTCGGTCTCGAGAGATTGATTTATATTACTATATTATCGGTAATGATAAATGATATTGTCACTGTGGCACTTAACGTATCAATCTTCAGGATGGATGGGATTCAATAAACCGAGACATCTGGCGTCGACTACACTTTGAATTGGAACCGACCATACAGTCCCCTGGTCCTAAGAGCACTAGATAAAGGACGGCATGCAATCGTCTCAGTCAATCCCCCCTGGCACAGCAGTCTTCTCGTCCCTCCCAAGCTCCCTAACCTCAATCTCGCCGTCACTCCCACTCGTTCTCCTCCTAGTGGCATCTTCCAGTGCTCGTCGACTGCACCGCGCCGTATAGCTACATCGGCCCCCCTCGCCGTCCCCAAACAGGCTCGTGTCCCGGCACGACCGCCCAAACAGCTCCACCCCGAGCACCCATGCCGACAAGCCCGCCGCCAGCCCCACCAGCTGCAGGCTGTTCAGCCGGTCCCCTGCGGCTGGCAGGCAGCAGAGCACGACGCACACGGCGCTCCTGTTGGCGCACCGCAGCCAGAGCGGGATGCGGCATGTCATGGAGGGGACCTTGTGTATGTGTGTGAGGTTGATGATCAGCATGCACGCGAGGGCAACGCCGAGGCCGACGCAGTAGAAGAGGCGCAGGCCCAGCGGAACGTCGGCCTCGGACTTGTCGGCGTACAGCTCCGTCAGTGTGGCGTTGCTGGCGTTGGGACAGTCGTGTGCCACGACGAGTTTGGAGAGGGCGGCGCTGGAGATGATGTACGACATGATGAAGATGAGATGAGTGTACTGCCAGAGAAAAGCTGCAAGGGTACAAATAAATTATGCTCCAAGTTAGCCAGACCGTTCGTGTCGCATCGTCAACGTTATTATCAGCACGGGCAAATGTCTATTAATCAAGACTCACCTGTGTGTGCGTGGCGTCGGATGGCGTGGGTGTGCAGCTGGCCATTATCGATCTCAAAGTACAGCCAATTGAAAATGTAGCCCTGTGCCAGGCCCAGAACCGCCTTGCCCAGAAATGCGTTCAGCCCATACCCTTGATTCTGGTAGAGCACACCGACGACGCCGTATCCAATCACCAGACAGACAAAGGCGTTGGTCCTCTCGACCTTGTGCTCGATGTTCACGGCTGGGTAGAACTCAAAGAACCGTTCGATGCGGCGCGCCACCCTCGACTGGTGCGATTTCGCGTACAGGAAGAGGCTGACATATGTGGCGCTGCCGCAGATGTCGACAACGAGCGCCGTGATGACCAGGCCCAGGCTGTCGGGGTACTCGACCTGCGTGCTGCCGATCCAGAGGGCCACCCCGGTGAGAAAGTGTATAACCTGCGAGTACATCATGCCCCTGATCATCGGTACCAGATACGCTGTCGAGGCTGCCCAGACTGACAAGAATAGGCGAGATGTGATGTAGTATCCTGCGAGCTGGACATATGTGTCGTTCTCTTCACTAAAAGCCGAGACCATGTTGGTGGTCAACCTGCACCCCAGAGGGGAAGAAAGCTTGGTTAGCTTTTGTTTCATCTCCTCTCCTTCTTCTTCGTTTCTTCTTCGTTATCAATCGGCAGGACAACTTACCCGAGAAGACAGGCAAAGAGAAAGAGCAGCCCAAGCTGGTTCAGCACATCGCCCGTGTCGAACCACTCAATAAGCTGCGTGACGTCGGTCCAGATCTTCCAGCTCATGCAGAAGGTGATGACAAACCGCAGCAGCTCACGACCCGTAGGCTCCTCTGATGCATGGTCACCGTTCACGGCGATGATGCCGACAAACAAGAGGTCGAAGAACAGCTCGAACGGCATGACTTCGCTGTCACGAGAGGATCTCCACAGCAGGCCCCTGTGAAAATACTGCTTGACCACAGGCCTCTTGAACAGCCTCACAGCCTCGCCGCTGCGGTCATTCCAATCCGTCTGTCCTCTTGTCCTACTGTTAATGCTACGCGCCCCATCAAACACACTTGTGCCAGAACTACCAGCGTTAGCCCCCCCCTCCTCCTCCTCCTCCTCCTCCTCCTCCTCCTCTTCCTCCTCGTCCTCCTCCCCCCCTCCGTACGTCCGCAGCCGCGCATCATACCCAAACTTGCTAAAGTTCTCCCTCAGCGCGGCCGAGTGGTCCACAAGCCCCTCCAGCTGCGCCGTGACCCCATCCAGCTGCCTGCCCACGCTCTCCCATTCCTCCAGCGCCTCGGCCCCATGCCTCGCCAGCAGCGCCTCGCGCCGCGCCTCGTGGTGCCGCTGTGACTCGCGCAGCAGCCGCTGGTGCTCTGCCGACCCGTGCACCACGACCTCCACCTGTGTCGCGCCCGACGCGTGCTTCTGCCGCAGCCGCTCTGCCTCCTCGGGCAGCGCGACGAGCATCTTGCGCCCGTCGGGGTGCAGGAACTCGGTGGGTTTGCGGCGCGCGTAGGCACCGGCTGGCGTCCTTGTGCTGCCAGGTGTGGTTGTCCCACTTTTCGTGCGGATTGGTGTGGCTGACATTCTTTATTTTGAAGGGGAAGAAAAGGTTGGGGGGTGGTTCTCTTGTTGGAAGAGAGGGAAGAGTGGATAGAACAATTTACGGCATCTGCGACGGTCAGCAGCTCAGCGCCATTCCATTTTAGGACGTAGACACCACGGGAGTTAACCAGCAAGGGGGTTTTGCCAACAAGTCATTAGAGTCTTGCTTGACTCTTCGGGAGTCAAATATCACACGCAGTAATTCTTGAAAGGAAGATGAACCATTTTAAGATTCGAGGCTCGATTGATAATCCGGCTGATGGTCAATATACACGACCAACGAGACCTCTCTCTGGGATTTTGTTCTGTGTACTTGTCACCTCGCTCGTTCGTTGAGGTTCGTAGCTTTAAGTGTTTGAATATTTTAATCTTTTCACGACCAATGCAGGCACATGCACTAATTCATGTTGCCTTACTTACAATATACGCTTGCACGATACCAACCGTTTTGGCTTCATATAGACTTGGGCGAGCCAAACTCGGACAACACATGCATATTCCCCCTTAGACGTCTTAAAAAGGCTTGATTACTCGCGCCACCTGCTTTAAGGAGCTTCTCATCTACGTATCGATAATTTCTGGCTCCATCTGGACCAGCAGGCGACACTTTACAGCGTCAAACACATCCATAAGTATTACTTGGTGATCAAAAATATATTAATCTGGTGACACAGCTTTTGCCTAATATCGAGACCCAAAGATGTCGACCCTCAGTCGAGCATGATATCAGCAAGGATCTTAAGGACTATAGAAGTCCCTGATCTTCAATCGGAGTGCTCCGGATCAACGGATGCAACGGACCTCTCGGTACCAAACAAATCACAAGTCAATTTTTCACAACTAGCCATTGGGGTGTTTGTTCCTGAGTTGCGACCTGCATATATACCATAATAGACACGGACGTGGTTGTCCCAAGAAAAAACTACCTATCTAAGACAAGTGTCCATCCCATGAGTAAGTTGCTACTTTGGGAGAGGAAATGGAGATGTGCATACGGCAACGCAGAATCCAATTCATCCAAATGAGCGGAATAGAACAAGGTACAATATAAGTCAAGGCATTTCTCGTCTGCTAGTGCTCCTTATGTTTCATTAATATTCGTCTGTTTTTGTTGTCTTGGTACAGTCGGTGTAGATTTCATAATTATTATCTGAATATTGTACATTCAAATCACAGCACAATGGGGTGGCCGACTCATCTGTTGATAATTGTTGTAACTGTGTGGTTTCCCAGAAACGCTTACTGTTCCACGCATTTTGACAATGAAGAACATGCACATTTGCCCATCCAAACCAACATGCCTTTCCCCTCTCCAGAACGCTCAGAGACCTTGTTCCGACTTCACGATGCACACACACCAGCAGCACCCAGCCAACTCCTCGGCGACTCTGCTGCCCTCGAAAAGCGACAGTCCTCCCCAGACTGTGGCCCCTCCGCCAACGGCGCCAGCTGCACCAACAACCAATGCTGCTCGCAGTTTGGCTACTGCGGCACAGGCGACATCTACTGCTCCCCCGCAGACGGGTGCCAGCCCGCCTACGGAGCATGCGAGGGCTCATCCACTTCCACCACCACGACCTCGACGTCCTCCTCCTCCTCCTCCTCCTCCTCCTCCTCCTCCTCCTCTTCCAGCACCACCACCAGCACGTCGCCGTCTCCCTCCGGTACACTGACCGTCTCGACCAACGGAATGTGCGGCAACTCAACCACCTGCGCCGGGTTCAGCGGCGGGCAGTGCTGCTCCGAGTACTGGTACTGCGGCGACGGGGCTGCGTGGTGCGGGACGGGGTGTAACTCGGCCTTTGGGATCTGCGGGTCTTCCAACACCACATCTACTTCCTCGACGACGACGATTACAACGACAACAACAGTAGCAACAACATCGACCACCTCGAGCACGAGTTCGACTTCTCCGCTTCCGCCAGGGCAGACTGCGACCACTGACGGCACGTGCGGGAATGGGAAGTCTTGTTTGGGCTGGTCGGGTGGACAATGCTGCTCGCAGTATGGATATTGTGGGAATTCAAGCCTGTACTGCTCGTCTATTGCCGGGTGTCAGCCCAATTTTGGGATTTGTAGTCCTAGTTGAGTAGACTTGGTCTTGCTGTGGCGCCGTTCCCAGGTGCTACTGTGATAGTGTCGGAGGCGGAGCTGTGGGAAAGGTAGCCTGGACGATGTTGAATAGGCAATTCATGTACTTGCTTCTGGATCTTAGCTTGACTTCTGCAGCAGATGCTAATCTACTGCAAGTATTACTCTATGATTCTGGCTGGAATTTCATTACATCAAGAAATGATGTGCCTGGAGATTTACAATGAATTCAGAAGACCTGAGCATGTGTCACGGAAAGGGTAAGATGACAAGGCCTACTCAGGTCGTGGTAAAAGAACACCTGAAATCTGTGGCTTGGCTGAAGAATGGAGTAAGACTAGTCGACGAAGCCTCTAGCATTCGAATCTATGTAGCTTGACTAGTCACGCAGCAAAGATCGCAGAGAATTAGAATGCATGTTCAGGAGACAATTTCGTAATCATTATCGAACGTGGATGAGATTGGATATCAAAAAGGTGGCGAATATAAAGTAGTAGTAGGAGGAGTACTTCAAAATGAATCGACCTCAGCCATCCCATTGACCTCGTCAAGCCCCTCTAAACAGTCTTTCTCGTGTGAACCAATACTCTAGTCGTAATGTCCTCCCAACCTCTCAAAGTTGAGGAAGCAGTAGCGAGCAGCAAGGAAGAAAAGAAAAACATTGGGAACAAGCAAGCCAAGGCTGGTGAACAAATATTCAGCACAGGTCTCTTCTGTGCATACACAAACAAGTCTATGCGGCAGGAGTAATGTTCTCCTCCTCCCTAACGTGGGCGCGGCCGTCCTTCTCGGCGACGTGGTGGGCACCGCTCTGGGCCTCGGGGATACCCAGCATCTGGGCGCCCTTGTCGACGTGGTTGGCACCACCAAAGAGCACATCGATCTCCTCAAGTGGCACCTGCTTGGTCTCGGGGATGAGGAAGTAGACAAAGATGGCAAGGAGGATATTGACGGCCATGAAGAAGAAGAAGCACTTGAAGCCCGTGTTCTTGAGGAACAGCGGGAAGAACTGGTTGAAGATGGCCTGGGCGACGTTCTGCGTCTGCGAGCACATGCCCACGGCCTGCGCGCGCACGTTCATGCTGAAGACCTCCGAGGTCCAGATCCAGGTCGTGGCGCCCCAGGTAGGCTTGTAGAAGAAGATGAAGAGGAAGAGGAGGAAGACGATGGCGATGCCCACGGGCTCGGACTTTTGTGTGGTGCCGGGAGTGGCAAGGCCGACGACGGCAACGATCAGCATGCAGGTGGCCATGCCCAGGGCGCCCACGATGAACATCCAGCGGCGCCCAAAGCGGTCGACGGTCCAGGTGGCGTTCAGGGTGAAGAGGATGCCAAAGGTGGCGTTGAGGGCGTTGATCAGGTTGATAGTGGAGCTCGAGGTCCAGACCTTCTTGTAGATCTCGGTCGAGAACGAGTTCAGCGAGCCCTGGCCGGTGAGCTGCTGGCCGATGTTGAGGACAAAGGCAAGGTAGAGCCGCTTGCGGACCGAAGGATCCTTGAACAGCGCGGAATAGCTGGAGCTGATGGCCTCCTTCTCGTACTCGAGAGCCTCGCGGATGACAGTAATCTCCTCCTCGATCTCGGCCTCTGTCTCACGGATGCGCTGGAGGGACTTGCGCGCGGCCTCGAGGTTGCCCTTCTTCTGGATGTACCACCGAGGCGTCTCGGGCATGAAGGGGAGCAGGACAATGATGATGAGGGGAACGAGGATCTGGAAGATGACAACCATCTTCCAGTCCCACTCTCCCAGCTTCGCCTTGTGCAGGCTGCAGGCATAGTTGATCCAGTAGGCAATGAAAGAACCGACAGAGTAGAAGGTCTGCCAGAAAGCCATGATGAATCCACGGATCTCGGGCGGTGCCATCTCGCCAATGTAGACAGGGCCGGCAGCTAATTACGTACAAACAGGAACTTGGTCAGCAATGCATGGGAATACAAAAAGGTCAATCGATGGATGGTTTGATTGCTGTTCACTTACTCAAAGCCATGCCTTGTCCAAACCCGACAAAGAAGCGACCGGCCATGAAGCAGGCGAGGTTGCCCTTAGGCGCAAAGGTCTGCATCATAGTGGCGAAGATAGTGAAAAAACAACCCAGGCCCATGCCCAGGCGACGTCCACCAAAATCAGCCTATTATTTGTATTACGATGATTAGCTGCTGCACGAGTTATAATAGCGTTATATATTGTGCACAAAACCGAGGGGAAGCGAAGAGGGCACTTACGACGGGGCCGCCAACAAACCAGCCAGATATGATGGCGCCAATGGAGTAGATGGTGTTGATGAGACCAAGTATATATACGCTGTCCTGTAGATGGAGAATAGAAAGAAGGTCAGTAAGGGGCGGCCTCCATATTGTTTGTACTTGTTTGGACGCCAGAAGAGAGACAACATACGATTGTCAACCCAAACCATGCCAGCCAGTTGTCTGAGCCTTGAACCGAGTTATATGTCGACGCATCGTATCCGTAAAGCACCATGCACATCGCCGCAATGATGGAGATGTACCTAGTCACAACAAATATTTAGCAAATCAATCATAGCCAAAAGGGGCCTGAGGGCCTGGTGCTTTTCTACACCACGAAAAAGCTTACCAGTTGTACGCCCGCGTTGAGGACACCATCTTGACCGTGGCTGCAGGCGGTGAGCCGACCCTGTGTGCTGGGAGAAATGGGGAGTAAAGACACACAAACTTCCAGGCAGAACCCAAGGGCGGGAACCAACACAAGCAATAGGAGAAGGAATTCCGTAGGGCGCGTCAAAGAGAAGTAGAGAAAAAGAAAAAGAAAAGGGGGAAAGGAAGGAAAGGACTGGTGTGTGAAGGCTGGCCAAGCCTTTTATCTAAGAGAAACTCAATATGGAGGGAATGAGTGCTCCTCTTTCCTCCTCCTAAGACGCGGTCAGGCGGACGGATAAGACATAGTTCTCTTTATCGAGGAGCTCTTTCTCAATTATCTCGACATCCCTGTCAGCGCATGCATGGATGGATGCACGCTCGCTCACCTCCTGAAAGGTGAACGAACCCAGGTCGACATGGTCCCCAATTTTCTGGTGCGGCGGCGACCATTCACGGTGGTGGTCTGGCACGAGGGGGGGTTGCCAGGATGCCACATGCAGGCCATGCCAGATGGGGGACCGTTCATACTCTTGTCGAGGGCACATAATCCGAACCCTTGGGGCTGGTTGAAGGTGTGGCCCTTGAATACGACGATGAGAACCCCAGATTCTGCTTTTCCCCAGTCTCCTCCCCCTCCCTCCACCCCGCTTCTTGTTCCTGAAATCACTGCTTACCCCGTGGAGAGAGCGCGCTGGTGAGATTTCATTAGATTCCCACCCTTGGCCCTTGGAGCAAGTCCAATAGAATGAGGCTTTGTTTCCCCGGTCAAGTCTTCCCATGGGGCTGGGCGCGGCCTGGAGGCGGCGTCTGCGGAGAAACTGGCAGGGGTGAAAATCCACCAATGACAAGAGTCGTCCGTATACATACGGGCCGCCTCGAACGTATCGGCTCGCTGCCAGACGGGCCTAGGCTCTCGGCCCCTACGGGGCAGCAAGCAGTGAGACGTTGGTTTGGTTTTTGCCCATGTCGAAAGAAGATGCAAGAAGAACAAGATATGCAAGACATGGACCGCATGTCTACAATCTCGCTGGGTCTAGACACCTGCAGAAAGTGTTCCAGTGACACATGACAGACGCGAGGATGAGGGGATGGATGGGTGGGTGGGTGGTAGGGTCCCGTCGAGGTTTGCTACACATGTTTCCTGCAATTAACGGGAAGAAGTTCACTGTTGTCTGCCACAAGAACTCCTCGCATACCATATCGAGAGAGAGAAAGAGAGGCATTCGTAAGCCACGAGCCAAAGCATGCTGGAAGCCAGGCAACGAAATACTGTAGTACGTGGCAGAACCTGCATATTGCATACAGACAGAGTGCGGGAACCATTCTGCAGTACCTATGTTGCAGAGGTTACCTGCCTTCCCAGTCGAATCGTTGTCGTCGATGTAAGATCTTGCTACTTCCTCCAGCCGCGGAATGGATGGAGCCAGTGGGCCACCCGAGCGCCATGGCGGAGGAAGCGGGACGAATCTCGCTCTTCTTGCCCGAGGAAGAACATAATGGCGAGGTGTTTACATTCTTGTTGTTTGGGTGGAAACCTTTGCATCCCGCTGCCGTTCGTTGGCACGACACAACAGCACCCTTCGGGCCGTCCACACAGGAGAAGCGGCTCATGTCCGCTGCCTGTGCTGCAGCAGGGAGAGAAGTGTGGCACCCAACAACCAGCATTCTCGCATCGTCGTGGATGGGTAGCCCAAAGTTTGCAACAAGCTGGTTCCCATACCCGTCGTCGTACGCAAGGCTCCAGCGAATGATTCATCTATCCGGCCTAGTGGCTGGCCACAAATGTTCCATGCCGTCGCAAAAGAGAGAACTCAGTTTCCGCCTTCTGCGTGCCTCATGACAGGGCAAGTAGCTTCAGCTGGCAAGAGCTGACAGGAACCCTCCCTCTCCAAGAGGAGAAGCAACGCGTACCAGCTTGTGACCACATGGCTGTCCCTCGTCCTCGTCATCCTCGTCCTCATCCTCTTCCTGGCATCCCAACACCACACACACCTCGGCTCCAGGGTGGGTTGCTTTCAGTAGTAGAGAGAGGCTGAATAAGACAAGGGTAAGTTATGCAGTGAACGTGTCGTCTTCTCTCTGCTGCGTGTTCCCCTTCCCCCCACCCTTCCCTCCTCTTTCGATCCCAACAGACTGGGTCGAGACGGACGATGTCACGCTGATCCAGCGACTTTGTTGGACATCCTTTTGGGCCCTTGGCATCGAGTGTGTGTGACCATATACATTAGTATTGGGTAGCCGATACACCGTAGATGGCTAGAGTCGAATCGTCCAGAGCTTCGAAGGATCGCTGGTCGAACTTCGGGGTCGCCAAGAAGGAGAAATGTTCCATCAATGGGAAGGCGGCGTGGGGAGAGAAGAGGTTGCCGACTAAATTCCTGCCGAGAAAACGAGCCGTTTACAGTGGCTTTTCACTGGTCTAACGCTGACAGACATGCGATCCTAGTTAGCTCTAGCGGTGCTGTGAGACTTCTCAGCAGTGGGCCCCACGTCCCCGTGGCTTGGCCCTAAATGCCCTACACCCCCTAAATGCACCCCTAAGGGAAACCTGGGGTAGCCTCTGGCCATCATAGACTATAGTGTACGTACTGTAGACCCTCAATTCTGACCAACAGAAGAAAAACAAACAGGGTCGCAAGCATGCATACCAAGTGTACTTGCATTGCTTGTCACATGCATAGTACCGCTCGAAACCGGAAAATTTGCTGAATTGGTCCAGTCATGCTTCCTGGTTCTCTGGTTCTTGTGTTTTTGTTTCTCCAGCTTCTTCGGGGGCAGTCAAGCTTGGCTCACATATTATTATGGGTTATGTAATTAGAAGCAATATGATTCTTCTTCTTTTCATGGAAAAATATCGGCGTGGCTACTTGATTCCTGTGTAGTCAGGATTGACGCGAAATCTTAGCCCCTGGAGAGAGAGAACTTCAGCTCGAGAGCAATCACTTGAGGATGTTGCATACTCCTCCCCTATGTCCCTTTTTTTACCGTCTTTTTTTTCTTCTTTCCTTCTTCTTCTCTCTTCCGTCTCTGTGACATGTCCCTGATCTTCATTCCTCCTGCTCCTTACAACCATAAAGAGTCTCACCAGCCTTGTGCATGCATCAGGCTCCAGTCCATCGTCGTCCAGAAATCGTCCATGTCAATGTCGATCAGGACGTTCCCTGCCAGATCAGAGCTCTCTCCGCGATACGACTCCGAAGGATCCTGACCACCATCACCACCACCACCAGAGCTGCCACTTATTAACGCGAAGTCTTCTTGTGCGGCCAAAAGTGATGACTTGTTGCTGTTGTTGGTGTCAATGTTCATGATGTTGACATCCACAACACCGGCGCTGTTAACATGGCGCCCATTATCCATTTGTCCCTGGCCCATCATCTGATTCTTCTGCTGCAACCTGTCTCGAATATCCGACACGAGCAGCGGAGGCGTCATCATCTCCTTCTTCTCCCTATGTGTGTTCTCATAAGCGCCCCAGGCTTCGAGGACGAGCCGCGAGAAGATAGAAAACGCTCCCTTGGCCTCTGACCTGGGCATGATGGCACGCAAAGCCGCCCGGGCCTCCCAGTTCTCGCTCATCACGCGCCAGGCTTCGTCGGACTGCGTCTCTGCAGGTCGCCTCCTAAGGTGGTGCAGGATGTAAAAATACGCCAGGATGGGGACGCAGAAATCAACCAGCCAGAGGAAGCCCTGTGTCAGGCGGGAGGTTCTGAGCTTCGTATCGCACTCGAGCATCTTCACTGCATGAGCGAGGGCTGTCAGACGCTGGGTCTCTGTCTGCTGAGAAGGGTTGATCGCGTGTCTTGAGTAGTGTTCCAGCAGGCGGTGCCTGGCCATGTAGCCACGTGCTGTCCAGACTGTCATGAAATGCAGCGGCTGGTTGAGGTCGCAACGTGCCAAGTAACGTCCCTCGATGTCCTTCTCCAGTGACATGAAAGTACTGTGTCCTTGCATCCTATGAAGATTATTTTTCTCGCTTTTCGGATGGGCCAAAGCCTTCAATGCTGGGTTGACGAAATCTAGATGAAAGGAGGAATGACGAATACTATCCGCCATTTCACTGAGAACGACAACGAAAAGGGCCTCGGTGGGTCTCCCATGAACGGCTGATGAGACTATCGAGCCTGACTGCATCTCAAAGTCGCTGGCGTTCGCGGGTCTCTTGCAGTCCCAAGTAGGAATCAGCGTGGTCGTTCCGTATTCGGTCATTTCGCAGATGCGCTGGTCAAAGACGACTAGGGACCACCACAATCTTCGGCGCATCTCTGCCTCAAGGGCATCGTATCCAGAATTGATGGACTCGTCATGCAAGCCCATGCGTTGCGCCGTGCGAAGGACAGTAGATATAGCCGGTGCTATAGAACGAGGATCGCTTTGCGGTCGAACAGATACCTGGACGATTGTCTTGCTCAGTACATACGCAGATCCCTCTATGATAATCAAATACACAGTCATGGCTTTTGTGATTCATCACGTTGATTCATGCCTGTTAAGTACTTACCAAATAGAGGTAAGACGCAACCAGGGCGTCGAGGTTCTCGCAGCGCCAAAATCTGCACCTCCTCAATGCTTGTCGACAGGCTGGCTGATAGCTTTCCAAGAGTTCTCTCCTCGACGAGCCAAAGAGAGAACGGCACTTGTCATCCGAGAGACTCATGATGGACATGCAGCAGATGCTTAAGACCAGAGCTTCGAAAGCAGGATTGATTCTTTCACCCTGGCTCGCCGCATCGATAATGCGAGCTTGTAGTGTCGGTGAGTGCGTGACTCGGAGCAGCGGACTGACGTTCTCGAGATAAATTTGCCACATCCTGAAGACTTGACTCTGCTCCGAGTGCAAAGCAGGTAAATCACCAGCTGGCGGACATGGCCCAAAGAGGAGATGATCGTTACCGTCGTCGTCTACCTCAGGCGGACTGGGTTGGCCCGGCTCCTTCCTGGGACGGGTATTGTGAGCGTGGTTGTTGCTATCTCGACGCCTGTGGTGGTCATCTTTGCTTCTCTGCTCATCAATAATCATCTTCGCTCCTGGAAAGCTTTCGTTCCTGTCATCCTCCAAGTCTCGTCCCTGCGTATGAATCAGCAAAGTGTCACTCATACAAGCGCAATTGATCTCATTTATCGTACCATCTGTATCACAGCATGCCGGAAATTGCAGCAGCGACGGCTTGGTTGTTCGGCACCATCATCATCTAAACCTAAGAGCCGGCCTTCGTGCACTGCTGCACGTCTCGATCCAACAGCAGCCTCCGTGCTCGAGACATCCAGATCCCCACTGTCTATAATCTCAACATCATTCCCATCATCAGTCGATGAAACGAGCCCTGCAGTCACGCTAGGCAAAGTGACAGATGGATGTAAAGCCGTAAAATCAATCTTGTGCCGCCGAAGCAGCTCCTCAAATTGACGCAGCCTATTCAACAGTTCTCGCTCCGGGAATCGAGGGCGCCGCCGCCGGGGCCCGGACGGAGCCACGCAGTGCGTTCCCGACTTGACGCAGGCTGCGCAGGGGGACTTGCGGTCGCACTTAACCTTGCGCTGCTGGCACGAGCTACACGCGAGCAGCCGCCGCCGCTGCAGTTTCTGCTCCTCGGTTCCGCTGGGGGCTGGCGCTGGAGAAGATGCTGGTGTGACGATTTGTGTCTCCTTCTCGCTCATTGGCTGCGATGTGGGATTGGGCATTGCGAGCAGAGTAGAGGAGGAGCGAACGGATGCGAGCGAAAGAGATGGGTGATCAATAATCTAACAGACGGGGAAATCTCAGAGCCTGGCTTCTACTTGCTTGCCTTCTCTCTTTTCTTCGTTCTTCTTCAAGAAATTGGCCTCCAGTTGGTGGCTACGATGAGGAGGAGAGGACATAGGCCAGCCAGCTCGGATGATGGAAATCTCCAGGCGGGCGAGATCTGAAGCGTCGGTCTGGGCTAGTTCCCGAAGATGTGCCCCCAACCGGGTGTTAGTAAAGTCCGAAGACTATCATCCTCACGCCTTGTCGCAACATATCTTGTGCTTGTGCATCACGTCGTGCTTTTCTAACGCCCGTTCGATGCAAAAGAAATGTCTCTTCTTGGCCAAATTTGTGGGCTCTTCGCCTGTACCTTCGTTCTGGATCCTTTCATCTTCCCTGGTGATTAATAAATTAATAGATTATTCAAGAATTCTGGGTGGACTCTGGGAGAAGTTCCGATGTAATGGTTGTCAGAATTTTCTAATTACATCGGCCTCCTTGCTGAGGGCTGAAGAATGATTCAAAAAATTATATATATAGTTATCATTCTCACGGAGTTGTCAAACTTTTATGCGTTCTGCTCAAGGCATAAAAGCTTCGAGTACTAATTAACTTGCTGACTTTTTAGTAACCTCTCCTGCCCAGATCGAAGCACATCTCTGTCATTTATCTACATCAAAGAAGAAAACAACCGGGTTCGCTTCACTTGCAAACAGACTTGGTCTTCAGTTCCCGACCTGATTGTTCATCACACCTCGTCTCGTCACCATGACTTCGTTACAGTCGAACCACTTCGAGAAGATCCCAGATGGCTCAACCCCAGAGCCATCCCAGGCTGATGAGACCAGCACTCGTGCTGTCACCGCACAGGACATCAGTAAAAACAATATGGCCGCCGAAGAACAAAAGCTGTCTTCCCCCAAGATAGTACTGCTGCTGGCTGCGACTGTAATGAGCGTGTTTCTTCCTAGCCTGGACAGGACTGTTATCTCGACTGTACGAATAATTACACGTACCTTTGGTTTCAGTCTTGTTACCCTCCCCTCAGGACATTTCATTAATCAGTATTATATGAAGAGCATAAGCTGATCAATCACCACCTCTTGTTCATAGGCTATACCACAAATCACCAACGAATTCGACTCCCTCTCTGATGTTGGCTGGTACGGCAGTGCGTACCTGCTGACATTCTGCGCATGCCAACTGCTGTATGGCAAAATATATTCCTTCTTTCCGGTCAAAACAACTCTCCTGACCAGCATCCTCATCTTTGAGACCGCCTCTGCCCTCTGTGGAGCGGCACCCAGCTCGACAGCCTTCATCGTGGGCAGGGCAATTGCTGGGATAGGTGCAGCCGGCATCACAACTGGAGCAGTAAGTCAAATCCAGCCCTCCCTCTATCTTGACTTTAGACAGATCTCTGGTCTCCATGTCTGATACTAATACCGAACCTTTCAGATGGTCTCCATTGTCTTCATCGTCCCCCTCGAGAAGAGGCCTATAATCCAGGGCCTCATGGGTTCTGTCTTCGGCATTGCAACTATCATCGGGCCTCTTGTCGGCGGGGTCTTCACCTCGGACGTGACATGGCGGTGGTGCTTCTACCTCGACCTCCCCATCGGCGCAGTAGCCACAGCCGTCATCATTCCGTTCCTCCACGCAGCTGACCGGGACACTATGCATCTCCCGCTGCAGACGAAGCTCAAACAGCTCGACCTGCCAGGGACGCTCTTCTTCGTCCCTGGGATCGTCTGTCTCATACTGGCTCTCCAATGGGGTGGCCAGACCTACGCTGTAAGAGACAACAAGCCATTTGTACAATTGGGAAAACGCCGAGGCTAACATGACACAGTGGAGCAACGGGCGCATCGTAGCCCTCCTCACTCTGTCCGGCGTCCTCCTGGTTGCTTTCGCCGTGGTTCAGGCCAAGCTGCCCGCCACTGCAACACTGCCGCCACGCATTCTCAAGCAAAGGACCATCATCTCTACTGCCTTCTCTGGCGTCTGGCTGGGTGCTGGTAACTACATCTTCGGTGAGAAAACCAGAGGCGACCCCACATAAACGAAAGATTTCCCTCGTGGCTAACCTGCAGAACTGTAACCACAGTCTACTTCCTGCCCATCTGGTTCCAGTCCATCAAGGGCGTATCCGCACAAGATTCCGGCATCCGTCTACTCGCTCTGATGCTTCCCGTGGTGGTCGGCAGCATCTCGGGCGGCTTCATCAACGGGAAGATCGGGTACTACAACCCTCTCGCGCTGCTAGGGTCCTGCATCATGACTATCGGAGCTGGACTCCTCACGACCCTCCACACCGACACAAGCACGGGTCAGTGGATCGGCTACCAGCTCCTCTACGGCCTCGGCTACGGGTGGTCGTTTCAGGTGCCCAACCTAGCAACACAGGTTGTCCTGCCCAAGAAGGACATTCCCACAGGCCTGGCCTTCATGGTCTTCTCGCAGCTCCTGGGCTCGACGATCTTTGTGTCTGTGGGCGAGAATGTGTTAAGCACGCAGCTCCTCAAGCGGCTCTCCGGGGTGGCGGGGATCGATGCGTCCCTGATCACGACGAGCGGCGCGACGGGCCTGCTTGCCTCGGTCCCTGCGAGCCTGAGGGAGAAGGTGCTGGTGTCGTATAATGAGGCGCTGAGGGTGGTGTTTTTGATTGGGCTCGTGGTGTGCTGCTTGGCTGTTCTCGGGCTTGCTGCGATGGAGTGGAAGAGTGTGAAGCCGAAGGGTGGTGATGCGAAGCCGCAGGGGGCAGCAAGGGCTGAGGCGGGAGGAGAAGGTGGTTTGAAGGCGAGCGAGGAAGGGAAAGTGAACTAAGGAGGTGGGAAAGTCTCTCGAAAGGAGACATGCAGGCAGAGGGGAAGTTGCGTCAAGGTGGGATGCGTTTACACATAATTCGTTAGGACAGCTCCACACTCCTTGTTCCCTTTTCTCTCTTTACCTTTCTTTCTCTTTTGGTGTATATGTATGTGGGCAAATAGGTTATTTGGCGTTATACGATCAGATTGGATGGCTAGATATGAGAGAGAGAATTCCCAAGCAGAAATGGTCAGATCAGCAAGAGGAGATCAGCCAGGTGGTGTCACTCTGATCCTTCGGTTGATTATCATCACTCACGAGGTCTCTTCAGCACTGGTCCAGGCACAGTCCTGGTCTCCACACAGAGCCCGTTATTTCCCGTCATCGTTGGGCAGTGCCGCAATTTGGCTTGCTTGAGTACTAACTTTACCTAGTATTACTTTACATAGTAGGTGCTCACAGCAGTTTAAGAGATGTTGCTAAACTGGGGCCAAGAGGCGATGATTAGATCAGATGGAGGCGCGACTCGGAACTCTAAATACAATGCGACGAGGAGTGGTCTGATGGCGGACCCTCAGACAGGAGCTAGTTACCCCGTGTTGGAGGAAATGCCGCCTGGTTTTTGTCTCCTGACTGGTATGTAGTCTCGAGTCCAATGAGGGAAACTTTCGAAATAAGGGTTTTGCTGCATATTTAGGGCCATGACTGCCTCCTCCTCCCTTGCTTCCCAACGCGTCTCTAGGTTTCACTGCAGCCTTCCAGGGAAAAGTACAGTGTTCTTGACATAACCATCTTCGACTCGATGAGACTTCCCAGTCAATCGTCACGATGCCCGCCGGCAAGACCTCATCCCCGCCACCTTCCAGGCCCAGGACCATAGAAATCGTCACGCGCGGCGTCAAGAAGCCAAGCCCCATAGCCACAACAACCCTGATCGGCCTGCGCGCCCTCGACCCTTTTCTCCAGTACCAGATCCTCGCCCATGGCCTCGGCGCGGGCATCCTGGCCAGGCTGGGGCTCTCGACCATCCCGCTGAGCGCTACAATCATCACTGGTACGGGTATCAGGCTCATTGACCGGCTTGGCCTGCCTCTCGAACGCCTCATCCTCCTAGGGATGGCCGTCGGATCAGCAGCTGAGCAGATCATGTGGGCGACCTATCTGTCGCAGGAGCAGCTGCCCATGGAATCTGCATTTCTCGTCTCGGCCTGCAATACCTTTTGCAACAGCATCAACTCCCTCCTGCTCATCGCGTCTGCAACCTCTGCAGCGCTGTCGACTTGGCCGTTCACCATATCCCTGGTTGGTGGGAGGCGCCGCACGAGGATCTCACTCCCTGTCGCTGCCGGCGCGCTGCTATACGTAGCTGGCATGGCTCTGGAGAAGGTCGCAGAGTTCCAGCGCAAACAATTCAAAGACAGAGCCGAGAATAAGGGTAGGCTATGCCGCGAGGGCCTATGGGCCTGGGCAAGACATATCAACTACGGCGGGCACACGCTGTGGAGGGCAGGCTATGCGCTTGCTGCTGGTGGCTGGATCGCGGGTGCGGCAGCTGCCTCGCTTCAGGCCTGGTTCTTTGCGCGGAACGGGATGGTTTCCCTCGACTATTATATGTCGCGGAGGTATAAAGACCAGTGGGGTCGATACAAGGAGGATGTGCCGTGGAGGCTTCTCCCTGGCGTGTTCTGATCACAAAAAGAAGAGAATAGAACCAAGGCTGCGTGCGGTGTAGGGAAGAAAATGTCTGGCCTGGAATATCCACGAAATTGCATTATTGGCCTGCTGCAGCAGACGTGAGGCAGAAGGATAAATATAGCCACCGCGTATCTGAAGTGTTGCGCTGTAAGAGAGTCACAATATAAAAAAAGAAGAAGAACTAAAGTCATTGCCTCCAAGGGATTATTTGTTGAAAGATGGTTCGCATGTGATCATCAACCGCAGGCCGCCGAGTAATTATAGTACTGTGGCAGTAAGTACCTAAGTACTCGTTCACTATACCCCCTACGTCATAGTCCTGGTTGTCAAAAAGAATTTAGCGGGTCGCCTGCCATAAATCTGACGGCCGACGGGCGGCGCTTGCGTGCTGGGCCGGGTTTTGCGGGTTCGCTTCGGGATGTCAACTTCAAGAGATAACCACGATCCGCCTCCCTCCTCCTCCTCTCCTTCCTCCTCCTGCTATTTCGCCCACCATCTGCCCTCGAGCCTCATTGTTTCTTTGCTTCCTTTGCTCTTTTGCGAAGAATAAAACATCAATACGACGATGCTGTTATGACCAACGAATAGACATAAATCGAAATACGAAAAAGACAGACAGACTACTGTACAATATAACATCCGCCGCGGCGACTTTTTGCTCGACCCCACCTCCTGAAACGAACAACGATGCGCAGATGCGCCCTCCGCGCTGCCCCTTCTCGAAGACCATGCTTCGCATCTCGGACATGCGTGGCTTCTAATGGCCAAAGACTGCGCACCGCCATTGCTGCAAGGAGACTGTTGCAGACAAGTGCCTCGTCCGGGCGGAGGCTGGTGACAAAGGATACCTCGTCATCGTCGAGACCGGCAGCGCGCATCGCATTCCCGGCTATTTTTGCAGCTGGACAGAGGAGACCAGCATCGGTGGCCTCGTCGACGATTGAGAATGGTGCGTCTCAGCCCGGGAGCAGAACACACGAGGAGGAGCGTTGCCACACGGTCCATTCGCTGACCTTGTCGACAGTCAACCGTGACAATTTCGGGCCTATCCAGGAGTACGACCGCCGGGTCGCCGAGGGCCGTCTGAAGAACGATCCCCACCAGCGAGGCAAGTTCAAAAGAAAGAAAAAGACAAAGTTCCTTCGCTTCTGCTATGGGCGCTTTCAAGCTGACACCTTGTCGTGCCAGGTATCATACAGAACCTGCAGCACCTGCACGATGAGCTCAGGCACTACAACGCCCCGCCTGTCGTCCACCCCAGCGTCGAGGACCTCCAGCCGTCGAAATCCCTCTTCTCCTTCTTCGGCGGTGGCAAGTCCAAGAAGGCAGTCCTCGGGGAGATACCGACAAACCTTCCTCGCGGTCTCTACCTGTACGGCGACGTGGGCAGCGGCAAGACAATGTTGATGGATCTCTTCTACGACACCCTGCCCAGCAGTGTCCGCTCCAAGACGAGGATACACTTCCACAACTTCATGCAGGACGTACATAGGCGGTTGCACCGCATGAAGATGTCACATGGGAACGACATAGACGCTGTGCCTCTTGTCGCAGCAGATATCGCTGAGCACGGCAATGTCTTGTGTTTCGACGAGTTTCAGTGCACCGATGTGGCAGACGCCATGATTCTGCGAAGGTAGCCAAACCCCCTCGATCCATTTTCTCTTCTTCCTTCTGTCCTCTGCCTAGGTCTCTGAAGAAGACCCCCCGTTGGCTGACTCTTGGGAATCAACAGGCTACTCGAGGCGCTCATGTCGCACGGCGTGGTGCTTGTCACTACCTCCAACAGACATCCAGACGAGCTTTACAAGAACGGTATCCAACGTGAATCCTTCGTGCCAGCTATCCACCTGCTGAAGAGCAGGCTGCATGTCATCAACCTCGACTCGCCAACAGACTACCGAAAGATCCCTAGGCCACCATCGGGTGTCTACCACACACCCCTTGACGCTCACGCCGCCGACCACGCCGAGAAATGGTTCCGCTTCCTGGGCGATCCCGACACCACCGAACCACACTCGGAAGTTCAACACGTATGGGGTCGCGAGATTTTTGTCCCACGGGTCAGCGGACGGTGCGCCTGGTTCACCTTCGACGAGCTTATCAAGAAGCCCAAGTCAGCGGCCGATTTCATCGAGCTGACCCGTTCATACGATGCCTTTGTCGTCACGGAGGTGCCCGGAATGACGCTGCGAGAGAGGGACCTGGCCCGACGCTTCATCACGTTCATCGACGCCGTGTACGAGTCGCACGCCAAGCTCGTCCTTACCACCGCCAAGCCGCTCACTGAGTTGTTCACCTCCAAGGACGAGGTCGCTGAGTCCCTGCTTCAGGGCTCCGCCCACGAGTCGAGCAGCACCGAGGTCACACAGGTCATCAAGGACCTGATGGAGGACCCAGAGCAGCAGGCTCTGAAGCTCAAAGGGTCCGCACTTTTTGCCAACGATGAGGAGGCCTTCGCCTTCTTCCGAGCGCTGTCCCGTCTGACTGAGATGGGCTCGCAGGAATGGGTGGAGAGGGGCATGGGCCTTGAGCAGCGCGGCGGTAAGCCGGAGCGGGACAGCTTCCTCAAAGCCCGATCGCGACAGATGGAGGATTCCATGTAAATTTTGGGCGAGGAATTCCCGTGTGTGTATGTGTGTGTCTACGAATGATTGGGTGGGATATCTGCATTCTATTTCGAATTCTGCGGATACCTCAATTGCATAGCGACAAAATCAATCTCTGGAAATAGATAATTTGAATGAAAATTACGTTGACAGAAGACAGATCATTCTTCACAAACTACCAAGTAAGAAACTACACCTATGTAGTTGTGCTTAATGTGCCTAGATGTTGATAATTTGTGACAAACGTATGTGGTGCGACAGCCCAGAGAAATGACCACTCAGAAGTGGATAGGCATGCATGAATGCATTTGGTCTGTGCAAGTAGTAGTCGAACGCATGTACATCAATCTATTTCCTATCTTCTCTTGCTGCTTCATATTATTCATATTCCACAGCAACACTATGCTCTTCTTCAAGTTGCCTTTGAAGTCTTGACTGACTGGCAACCATTCCCGGCAGACCTATCGCATCCATGGAAACAACAAGGTCATCCGGGAACGGTCGCCTTGCCTCCTCGCAGGTCCTCGTCGGGCTAGTGACGAGAACCTTCATCGCCGCATGTGTGCTCTGCTCGGCCGACAGTCGCAAGACGGTGACCAGGACATGTTCCATACTCCCAAGAAACTCGGGCCGCTCATAGTACAAAATGCCGTCAATAAGGCACACCAACACGACATAACTCGGCAGCAGGTGAACCAGCCACTCAAACAACCTGCACAGCTCGTTGATATCGCCATGCTGAACCAGCTCCCTCGTCACAACGGAGGCGGACAGCTTCTCGCCAAAGTCGAATTGGCAGAGCAGCTGACAGATGAAGCTCCGAATCATGGCGAACCCCCCAGTGTACCGATCCGTGATGGCGTCCACATGAAGCCCGCAGAAGAACTCAACGTGGAGGAACTGAGGGGCCCTACTGGCTAGAGACTGTACCAGCGACACGCAGAACAGCGAGAAGAATTGCTCGAAGGCGGAGCCTTCCGAGGATTTGGAGATACAGGTTTACGGCTTTTGAATACTGAGGATTTTGGGAATCCATCATCCAAATTTATGATGGTTAAAGATGAATTTGTAACTTGGCGTTCCCTGCAGCCTGCGCCGCACAAAGGTATGCGTCCTCAGGCGTCACTCCGTCCTGTCTACTCGCGTAAGCTTGGACCACCCACACAATGGGATGTGTCGGACGACGAGGAGTGGAGCAGTGATTCTTCCATCTCCTCAAGGGACTTTCACTACTTCCGTGCCAGACTGCGCGGAGATTTCGAGTGGGAGCTTGATCGCCTCGCCAGACAGAAGGAGAGGTACGAGAGACACAAGGAGAGAAAGAAGGCCAAGGCACAGGAAGTGGCAGAGAAAGGGCAAGAAGTACAGGAACAAGAAGTCTGTTCCTGAGAGTTCCCTGGATAATTCCGCGAAACCGAAGATGAGCCTCCTCGAGTGGAGCACTTTCAAAACTGCTCGACACACACCTACTCATGCGGCTTTCGCCATCGACATTCTTGTTGGAGAGCCCGACGTCAGCAGCAACTTCTTTTGGAATTTTGCGACCGTGGCTTCGAAAGCCCCCGCCAAGACGAAGACCCAAGTCACAGTGGATGCTGCTTCGAAACGATTCGAGACTCAAACAGGACAGTACAGCGGGCAAGAACCTCTTCCTGAACGGATCAGAATCCATTCCAAACAAATCATCAAGATGTTGTCGGTCATCCACGGCGCAGACCTTCTTGTTAAGTTTGAGGAAATAGAAGATCCTTCTATTGCTATGCTACGTCCTTTCCGGATGTTGACGTACTATGAGGCACGAATACGAGAGTGGTACGCAAAGGCCTGCAAAGAAGTTCAGCCAAAGAGTACCAGCTCAGAGAAAGAAACAGTGCCAGAGGATGGGGATACAGCAATGTCTTTGCCCCAGAGGAGCGAGACAGGCTTGGCAGGTAAGCACATGCCCATTCAAGAAGACAGCACACACTGCGTGCAACCACGCTGACAGATGCTCTGGGGGCCCTCCTACCGGATGACGCAGCTGCACGCGAGGGTGATACCGTCCCCGACCCCAAGGGCTACACCAAGCCTGAAGTGGCATTGGAACATATTCAGTGCTTGATCGATTTTATAGACAAGTACATTACCCCCAAACGAACTTATTTACAGGGTACAAGCTACGAAACGGTCTACTTTTCAGACCTTTGGCACCTGTTTCAGATCGGGGATATCGTCCTTGATGCCGACGGCAAGCAGGCATACCAGGTCGTCCGTGTCAAGTCTTCAAAACACAGAGGGGCCAATCGTTGGACGCCTTTTCAGAATGGAAATAGCGCCTCCAAACAAGAATCCATCTCCATCCAGTGTGTTTATGTTAGCTTCGATGGAAAACTTCTCGGCCCAGTCTCCGAATGGTTCACCATCCGCAAGTATGATGGTGAGAGGAACATCACAGCATTGCCTATTTACCCTCTCCGCTTTCGTGTGCACAACAGCTTGTCTTCGCAGGGCTTCAAGCCAAAGGACGATGACGCTGCGTCAGAAGACACACTTGCCAGTGGGGTAGCTGAGCTCGAGCAAAGCCTCATCAAGAGAGGAAAGTTGTTTGTTGATGTGGCCGGTGTAAAGCATATGTATTATGCTGGTCTTACGGGTAAGTAGATCCTATTCGATACTTTCTGATTTATCTAGACTCTTGTACTACGCAAGTGTTGATCTCAAATGTCATCTCAGTTGATGCCCGCGACGAGGTTGAAAGCCAGGTGGTCATTGATACCGAAGAAGGAATCATGAACATGGATGACAAGTGGCGTCCGAGAATCACTCGGCTTCTAGGGGCAACAAACGATCACGACACCAATTCTGAAGCGGATGAAGAGGAGTGTACAGCTGAGTGCTGCAGGAGAGAACGTGTCCATCTCGACGCCTACGTGGAAGACAAACTCTATGAAGAGTTCATCAACAATGCTATCGCCGAAATACAGGATACGCCCCATAAGTTGCCGTCCGTAGCCATCTTTCCGAGGAATCTCGCCGAGATCCAAACCGAGGATAATGAGCTGAAGGACAAGGAACTGCTCATCATGGCTTCTGCTGTGCCCGGTTATGTGCTGCGAGACCGCACATGGGGTATGTTTTGGCGACTTCCCGTTTTGTTCACATTGTGCCAACCCGAAACTGATGATGTTTTCTACAGCGATTCTTAATCTCGCTTATCTTTCCGAGATCAGAAACCCTGCTGAGAAGATAATTGCACCTGATGATGACAGTTCAGATGATGATGACCATAGTGCCTTTGGCCGACTAGTTCTTCCTAAGGGCCACAAAGAAATGGTTCTTTCGCTCATCTCCCAGCATTTTCGAAACAAGGCATCGCAAAAATATCAAGAGGAGCAAGTCGACATTGTCCGTGGCAAAGGTATGTTGAAACAGTTTTGGCTGATGGCATTCTTCATTCCTGGGTTACCTTTTTGTTCTTTTCCCCCTCTTCTCTCTCTTTTCCAGATAGTACTTATTTGACTCGGGACTTTTACAGGAAGGGGCTTAATCATTCTCCTTCATGGAGCCCCAGGTGTTGGAAAGACGACCACGGCTGGTAAGTTGGCCAGTATCTTTCATTCCCATCACAAAAGAGTGTGCTAATGAACAAATACAGAGGGAGTTGCTGAGAGGTTCCACAAACCACTGTTTCAGATCACTTGTGGTGAGCAAATATACTTGATATCTTGGCATCAGGGCCGTCATCACAGGCTGACTGACTTTCCTCGACCCAGGTGATCTTGGATCCGATGCTGCAGCTGTCGAATCGAGTCTACAAACAAATTTTGCTCTGGCCAACCGGTGGGATTGTATCCTTCTGTTGGACGAGGCAGATGTCTTTCTCGCAGAGAGACGGCGGGAGGATTTCACAAGAAACGGACTGGTTGCAGGTCAGTACTAACTTTCACAGCTAATATCATCATATTTAATTCCTAGAGACTGATAATACTAATACAAAATAACTCATACACAGTTTTCCTGCGAGTCCTAGAATACTACAGCGGAATTTTGTTCCTGACAACCAACCGGATCGGAGACTTTGACGAGGCATTCGCGTCGAGGATCCATATGAGCTTGTACTATCCGCCGTTGGACGAGATATCCACCAGCAAAGTCTTCAAGCTGAACCTCGGCATGATCCGCGCGCGATATGGCGAAAAGGGAAAGAAGATCAAGATCGACGAGGTTGAGATCATGCATCTAGTTGGGCACTACTGGCGGCATAACAGCAAGGCGAGATGGAACGGCCGCCAGATCCGCAACGCTTGTCAGACTGCACTGGCACTCGCCGAGTTTGATGCCCAGCCAAAGGAACACAAGTACGACCTCAAGCCTGCCAACCCAGATCTCACGGTCCACCTGACTGTGGCTCACCTGGAAACGGTCTCCAAGGCATACCTGGAGTTCATCGAGTACCTCAAGGCGGTGCACGGCACAGACGCCGATACTCATGCCAAAGAGTCTGGCTTTCGGGCTCTGGATACAGGCGTTGCAGCTCTGAAGGCCAATAAGGGCACAGAAGGGAACAATCCTCTTGGCCAGACTACTACAACTACTACTACTGAACAAGACGAAAGACCCCTGCAATCTTTCAATATCAAGTCGGCCTCGCGAAGCAGCCATCTGGCTCCGGCGATTCCCTCTCAAGTCGACCCAATGCACTACCACCAGCACCACGGCGAAGCGCCATACACTCCACCAAGACAGAGTCCATACGGCTATAGTAGACCTGTTATGCCCACTCAGCAGGCCCTTGATCTGCGATCCGGCATGCCAGCAGGCGCATACCTCACCCCCGGCACAGATCCGAGTTACCTGCAGCCGGTCAACCCGCCGCAGCCCTTCTCGCCGTCAGGACAATTCCACCACCCCCAAGCGGAATCACCATTCCCTCCATCACAGCAGCAACAAGACGCATATTATAACAGCAGCAGCAGCAGCAGCATGTCACCCTCACGGCCCACCATGGCAGGCCCATCGCAACATGCCGCCAGCTCAGGATTCCCTGCAGCAGGAAGAGATCCTCGTGCAGGGGATGAGATGCTGCACGAGCAAGGTGCCTCTCAGGGTCAACGGTGGCCTGCCAATTATGCTGAGATGGATCCTCAACGAGAGTTTCGCCAATCTTGATATGGATGCATCTGGGAGGATCTGCCTAAACATTGAGTGACACACAATATGCTTCTTCTAAATGGCATTCCTCAGCAAAGAAAAAAAAAATGAGACTGTTCTGTGAGATGTGGAATAAGAGTCTTTCTAGTCTATTACAATACAAGCTGTTCTAAATGTACTGGGTTATTGACACAGTCCGAATCCACCACATGTGCGCAGCTACTCACCCAGCTGCGGCTCACCTGGCTTGCCCACCCCTCTTCACTGCTTTGCCTGCTGCCCCGTTGACTCCCGTTGCCTTCGAAATACCTGAAGGGCGAGCTCCCCCTTTACCATGCGGGCAAGAAGATGGTTGTGCATAAGCATGACACGGTGCACTGCCCTGCGCTGTTTTTCGAGCACCGACTCGGCCTTCATCCGCTCCACCATCATCCCAAGCGCCCCCGCCTTTGCGTACGGCCGGTATCTTATGTTATGGCCGACAGGGAGTTGCGCAAAGAGAGTCGGCTCGTTCGGGAACTCATCACGGTCCCTGGCCACGAGGTAGCCACCCCGCCACCACACTGCCAGCCTGCCTGGATACATGGAGGCGGGGTTGCCGTCCCTGCCCTCCGCCCTGGCTCTCTTCTTTGCCGCCTTGCTTCCCTTGATGAACGGCGTGTCGATCCACTTTGGCTGCAGGCTGGCGGGCCGCTTCCTCGGATCCCGCGGCACGGGCACACCCGGCACGAACATGACCTGTGCCCACGCCGCCAGAGCGGCCCAGTACGTCCTGCACTCGAGCGCCACGATGTTGCAGACGGTGAGGTGTTCCAGGATCCTTTCGGCCTGCTCTATGCACTTTTCCACCTCGGTGGTCTTGCGGTCTCTCGTGAGCGGGCTCCGGTAGGTCCGGGTCATGATCTTGCGTATGTTGCTCAGCGTGTCGTTGACCATTTTCAGCTCGATCGTGAGTTGGAGGCACATCCGCCAGAGCGTCCCCTTTCTGACCTGGCGGCCGAGGTGTCTCTCTTCTAAGCGCAGAGCCGTTCGCCTTAGGTGGGCCTCTTGCCTTCGAGCCTTCTCTTTTTCTTCCTCGAGGGCACGTTTGCGCTCGAGTTTACTCGCCAACGTCTGGTTCAGAGACGGCTGCCGTGCGGTGGGCGGAGAGAGCTTCCCCGAGCTGTGCAGACCGTCTCCCGATGGCGACAGGTTCTTGCTCTTCGACAGCTTGTTCATCTGTTGGGCCGAGCCTTGCCGTTCCTCTGACTCCTTCGTCAACTTCCCCCCAGACCCTGCGATGCTGCCACTGTGCGCAGTTCCATTTGCCCGTCTATCGGGGGCATGTTGCGGCTCCTTTTTGCTTTTTCCTCCCTGCGTAGAAGTCAACCTAAACTGGCCCTCCCCTGCCGGTTGCGTACTGGCGCTCTTGAAGTTGTTGTCCGTGAGTGGGACACGGCGGTTTGCTGGGGTGCGCGGCAACGCGTGAGAACTGCTCGTGCGAGACCCTTTGTTTCTAAGGTCTCGGGCGAGCAAACGGAGAGTGGGATACATTGGCGCAGCATTAGGCGTAGAAAAGGAGGCTGGGAAGGAAAATACTAGAGGAAGAGAGACGCGCTGGTGTGTGCAGTTTCTGTCTCAAAGAACCCACTGGCTCATGAGAACGACTTCTTAGGTTAGTCACAGTTTTCATATTGTAAGGGTTAGGGTCTGGGACTACAGTCGCGGGTTAGGGTCCAAGGGATGAGAGAGATGCAAGCATGAAAGATGGATGCGAAAGGGAAAAAGAAACATTGAAGAGAAAACGACAAAAGCTGGTTTGTAAGAAAAAGGGTTTTCAATTTGCAGCAAACAATAGATATGAATCAGAATATCCTGGCAGTTCTGCCACGGCAGTCCCTTGAAAACCGTAGATGTGATGCAGTTCCGAGCTGTCGATGCATCATGTGTGTATGTACTCAAAATATCCAAGACATGGCACCAAAAGAGGAGTGCAAAAGTCGCACCACTCCACCTCAGCACTTGATAATAACACCCAGCAGCTTACCCAACTTTAATTGATGCCAGCCTCTATGTAAGATGAGGCTGCACATCAATACATCAAGCTTCAGATATACTTGAAAACCAGATAGCAAGCGCTGGAACCAGCCTCGGGCGGGATGTCTCGATTCTTCATTGCTGGATGAAACAAATCTGCTCAGAAACTAACAACCACAGCATCATCCTGTTGAGGCCACACCTTTTTAGTCCATGTTCACAGAATCACAAACTCAGACACCGGGTGATCCGGCAGAAACCACAAGTGGACGCCCTCGGGACCACACTCGGCCCAGTTGTCCGGCTTCACCAGGCCCAGAGCTTGGAGCGGATCGCCCTTTGCGATTTCGAACGTCCCGATCCTGACCAAGAGCATCTTACCGGCGCAGCGGCTGCAGCTCGAGGTCGCCGCCCCTTGCGCCGCCGCCTCGCCGGTAACAGTCGAATCGCGGAACGGCATCAGCACCAGGCCGGTGAGGGACGGCAGTTTGGCGCACAGATCCTCCCGCAACGGCAGGCAGTAGAACTCGTCCCCAGTCACCTCATCGTAGCTGTCCGGGTAGAATGTCCCAAAGAGGTCATGGCGGGCGGTTCTGGGATCCACGGGCTTACGTCGCGTCCTCACGAGGTGTCCTCGGGCGAGAAGGCAGGCATGGTCGAGCTCGCCCGTCGGGTCGCTCCCCTTGGGCACCACGTGGACGTCGACAAGCTCAGTGTACCCGTCGTGCACCTCGCCAAAGACAGCCGTATGTGCTCGGGTCCGGATTGCGTCGACAGAGGCCCAGCTCCACGTGGGCGCCCGGTATCGCTGCGGCCGCTTCGCTGGGATGTACGCCCCCGTCATCTCGTCCCTCTCGACGCGCCACAGCAGCCCGTCGACGAGCTTAGCCCGCCACAGACCTGCCAGGTACTCGTCGTCCAGGTACACAGCCAGGTCCTTTGCGATCCCTGATATGGCGACTAACTTATCGCCGCCTTGTGTAAGCGCGCAGCTGGAGTAGAGCTGGAGGATCTCGTCCCAGACCTGGTAAGGGCTGTCGTACCATCGCATGGTGTCCAGCTCCGGGTCTGCGTAGGTCTTGTCGATCGTGGGATCTGCAAGCCAGCTGATGGTCCTGCGGAAGGCCTTGATGGATACTGCGTCGATGGTGTCGGGGTGCTGAATATCAGAGATAAACTCCTTGGGGATCCCATTCGGGAACACTTCGCAGGCTTGCAGCTCCTGGCACTCCCAGAACAGCTGGTTCTGGCCGAAACATAGGCTCCGAGGGGCCAGAAGCCGCTCTTGGACCACCCACGCCCTCTGGTTCAATGGCGCCCGTCTGATGTCGGTTTCCCAGAAATCTGACTTGATTAACAAGCCCTCGACCAGGCCTTCGGCTTCTGTCCGGAGTGTAAACGGGTGAGGTCTCACAAATGCTGGTTCTCGGTTGCAGAAGAAACCCCCGTGAGCATCGGGCGACGCCGTCGCACAGAGAGTCAGGGAGGCGTTCCTGTACACTTTGTTCATCAGTGGTGCTTGTTGCATCCAGTCGTCCCGGGATCCTTGGATGATACACAGAGAGTCTATCCAGATGTACCGAAAACCAAGCTTCCCCGTCGCAAAGAGTGCGTCCTGGAAGTTCTGGGCCAGGGAAGTAACCAGAACGCCATTGGCGAACAGTTCCTCGTGTCCCTCGTCCAAAACGAGAAACGGCGTGCGACCCCAGCAGTGGCTGAGTGCTAGGTACCGGACATCCTGGTTCCCCGGAAGAGCAGACGACAATACAACACGGACCTGTCCGTCCCCATAGTTCTCGAGGTCAACGAGTCTCTTGGGCAACCAGCCTGTCTGATGCAGGTCGCGACAAGTCTTGTGGTTCGAGCGGCAGTTCTCCACCCACTTTGCCACCGTGTTCCAACAACTGGGATGATTTGTTGTCTCTGGCAGGTCGACGACTTTGTCGACAGGGAACTCTGGTCGTTGGGTTAGTAGGGATATTCTCAGGCCATGCCTGCGATGGCGGAGGACTATGGGGTCCTTTTTTTGTGAGCCTGCCTCAAGGATAGGAACCCGACGTACTTGCTGGGTTCAAGATAGAGAATTGACCCGTCTCACCCCTCCACCAGCCACCGACTACTTTGTAATCCTCGCATTCATATAGATCATCTCCAGGCTCGCACATGAGGCCTGCCATGACTGCATTGTCTCCAAGCTCTGCGACCGAGTCACGCTTCAACGTGATCTCATACTGGATCCCCATGAATGTGGGCTGCGCAGTGATAGCCTTCTGCTCCTTGCTGAGGCTGTCCCATACCTGGGCGCATATGAAACATTGGCTCTCGACAGATTCCTTAAGGCTGGTAGAGCCGTGCTGCGCCGGCGACGTCCGCTTACGGCACCCAACGGGTGTGTTGCAGATCGACTGGCATATTTGGCAGAGGGTCATGGATGCCATTCAGTGCTTTGTTTGAGGCGGAAGGAATGAGTCATCGACAAGCACCGCAGAACTTCACGCACGTGTGGTGCAGGGGAACGACATGATCCCCATTCTTCGCCGTTAGGCAATACATCTGCGCCTTGCGGCTGCCTTACGGCGCAAGTTGCCCAACCAAACCATACGGCCGGGCCTTATTGGGTGCAGGGACTCCGGGTGCGGGGTCCGGTGGATATGTGTGTTAGAACTGTTGGGAAATCAGGCTTTTAAACATTAGAGTGATGGGTTTACTCCTTGCCTGGCTGTGCAGGAGGATGAGGCTGGCAGTGATTGCTATCCTGTCGAAGTCGCAAGGGCTGGATGCCAACCTCGAGATCGATACGGTAACGCCCGCTGTCCCGAAAGGTGCAGTATACATGTATTGGTGATAATGCGTGGGTACGAGCTTAATAGCCCTGACTTGTCATGAACAAAACTCGATTGATTGGAGCCCAAGCATCAAATTTTTTGGAAAAGATCATCGCCGGCCTGAATGCCCTTGCGGTGGCGATGATATGCTAGGCTCCTCACTGACAAGCTGAGGTGCAGCTCGTATGTACAGCGTGGCCACTGACTCACTTCGAGGCCAGCCTCTTCTCAGTGTCTTTGCTCATCTGAGCCCGAATCTGCGCAATGTCCTCCTGGGTCGAATTGTACGCGGCATGTACCTGGTTCGTGGGGTTCTCGGGGGAATTCTTCCACTCCTTCCAGAGACTCTCGCTGAGAGCATTCCGGTATTTCTTCTTCTGCTCCCAGTCGGGGTCGTTCGCCTCCATTTCCTTTAGTCGGCGGAGCTTCCACTCATCATACTTCCACTGCCGCCTTTCCGGGTGCCGGTCGATCTTCAATGAGGGCTTCGAATCTGTAAGGCCTAGCGCGTCGATGGCATTCTCAATGCCACTTGCGTTCAGAGTGGGGAGCGGCGCATCATTGTCAAGCTGCCCAAGAGCCTGGTCGAGACCTTTAGTCTTCTTGACTGCGCTCTTTGCATTCTTGGGAGCCGACCGGCCCGGGGTGTTCTTTTCCTCCTCGGCGAGGAGGGCCTCCCGCTCAGCCTTCTTGCGGGCGGCCTCCGCCTTCTTCTCTTCAGCATTCTCCCTGCACATGGAGCGGACAAGTCAGCTGGACCTGCACGTCAGAAAGCAACTCAACCCTCCCACACGCTCGGCCAACAACATATCTCCATCACAAAGTAGATGGGCTTGCCCCACACCCGATCATGGCCTGGCCGGCCCAACGTGCATGCCACGCAGCAAGTGCCGACCAGTCCAGGGGCCCCGGGGCCCAAAAGACCAGGGCATTGGCAGGGAACGGCACGCCCGACCAGCGAGCGGCCCTTTGTTTGTTCACCATGCACCGTCTGCAATGACCAGGGAAGAAGAAAATAAAGGAAAAGACTAGATGAAACAAGGATTGTGGGGGAGAAAAGAAATACAAGGAATAATGCTTAGGCTCACTTCTTCGCATTCCCCTTCTTTGCACCCTTCTCCCATTCTGCAGCCTCGGCCGCAGACTTCTTCGCGTCTTCGGCAGCCGCCTTGCTGGCAGCCGCATCCGCCTTTCGCGCCTGGCCCTGGGCCTTTTTACTGTTCTCTCCCGCGCCGCCTTTCTTTCCCATCTTGTATGCGTGTGTGTGCTTGTCTTTATATATGTATAAATAAATGCGCCGAGGTGTATTTGTGACGGTGCTGGTCGGTCTCGGAGGGAGCTGGAATTGAATTACAGGGTCGGATGCTAACGGTCGGTTTTCTCCCAAGACCTAGAGGCAGACTGGAACCTGCAGAGCTGGTGAAAGTTGGTATGAACTCGAATCCTCTGTCGTCGACGTGAGGTCCTACTCAACCGGTCAGAGGAGTGTCTGCTGACGGTAAAAAGGCCGGTGTGGTGCGTGGTCCAAGTCGTCGTTGACCAAGGCCTGGAAGAATTTGGGCCACGACGTCGGGGTTACTTCCGAGGCCGGCGGGGCCAGGGCTCCTCCTCGTCGATTTCGAAGCCTACGTACTCCGGTACGTACTATGGTACATCCTCAAGCATCTGCATCCTCATAGGGTTAGGGTCTTTGTACCCACCCCTCCCCGGACGAAAATGTACTGGACGACGTGCCTGACGCTTTCGTCTCCCAAAGGGGACATCATCGAAAATCATGTGCCAAGACAAGTGATAAGTCGCCGATTTGAGGCTCTGCTCGTGTTATTGTCGAACGAGAACTCGAGGGTGCCTTGGTTTGCACAACTTGATATAGTGGGGACTGCCCATACTTGCACCACCGGTTAACCTCAAAGCGGAGACCGGTGAGGGAGATATCATCTCGTTCCATAAGCTAACCCCCGGAAAATGTGATATCGCGGGGATGGAGGAAGACCTCGTGCCGGCAGCGGCGGCACAGAGGGTCGAGAGCCCCGACGATCTGGTTAAGGTGGCCCTGGAAAGCTCTCACCCCGGCGAGCCTATTTCGGGTAGCTGCCCGGTGCTTGATGATACATTACACAACCGTTGCACAACTTGACTTACGTACGCATCAATGCCCCTTCTGTCCGCTGGCGGTCAGGGTGTGGGCGTCAGGCCACCCCTCAATCTTGTCAAACGGAATCTCTCGGGTGAGCCCCCTATTCGTTTACCATTTTGTTTGTTTTTGAGGAGCACCTGTGCAAGGTGGAGACCACACGCACCTCTTAGGTCTCAAGATTGAGAGTTGTGGATGTACCACTCCCAGCATGTGGAGGTGGTCGAGATGGGATCTTTCTTAGCCCATGCTAATGCGTGCTGCTGTTGTATCTGGGTGCACATGCGGTGGTTGCTGGACAATACACAAAAGGTACAAGTCTATCGTTGACATGGGTGACGAGCGGGCGCGTCACAGAGGATTCACCCACGAGGTCTGGCCGTCGTCTTTCCCCACTAGGGCTGAAGGATGGATCGATCTCTCTTGCAAGCCGGCATGCAACAGTGCTCCAGGAGGCGGGGAGTGAGCCTGCGAGCTACTGCACCGAGCGCATTTGGGTATGTGTTGCAACCTCATTTCGGGCAACAGGCCGCATTACATCCACAGGGAGACATGCATGGCTAAACCCGCTAGGACAGCCGATCCGGTCAGGTGCCTCCAGCACCACCCCATAGACGCCGTCCGACCTCTTACGACAGCTCAGGTCGTGCACGGCAAGCAGTCCCCCACTCGCTGACCTAGGTTGGTGCCGCATAGCGCTGATGTAAACGTGCTTCGACGTGGACCCGGTTGAGCACCGCTCCGATTTTACCCACTGCGCATAGCGGCTGGGGCGCGCCCTGGCATGGATCAGGCCTTTTGGCTCATGATATGCAGTCAGATCGACGTTGGGACGCTAAAGCAACCGAAATGTGTCGTCTGGATGGTTTTGGGTCGGGTTCTTCCCCAAGTCAATACCATCCCGCAGCATGCAGCAAACCGGCGAACAGAGAGCCCAATGCTCGTCAGTAAACCCAGTCTCCCCAAAAAGGGCTCGATCCAGATGTGTAGAGACAGCCAGAGGATCTCCATTGATGTTGCTAGCCGGGTTTGTGTCGATATCCCGGTCAAAGACTCCAATCGACTTTGTAAGCGAGAGACCCCAGTGAGTTTTTGAAAACAACAAATGAATCAAATCATACGCGGCTCCACTCGGATGACTGGCGGTCAGATATGCACTTTGCTATACATGGTTTTCTGGATGGCGGCAATGCCTCGTGTGGAACGCGGCGCCTCGCTTGTGTGAGTATGTGTGCGTATGTGAGATTGCGACCATTCGAATGACGAGGTGGTTAGACCAAGATTTGCGGGCTCTAGGCGAGATCAGCTAATCTGGAGTCTCGCAATGGAGGTCGCCTTTCTCCTCCGGCTGTCGTCGGACCATGATGCCTACCACGCCCTCGGGTAGATCACGTCGTCAATAGTTGTGACGCGAGCCATGCAGATGACCGCAGTAGTCGTTATAGGGCAACTATAGTCGGTGAAGATGACGGCCTTTCAATTCCCGCGGTTGCCTGCCCCAGGGGGGCCATGAGCCTGTGCTGCCACAGCAGCATGGGTTGCGGCCCCGCCTGGTGCAAGGTTGCGAGAACCAACAGGTAACTTGTCCCCCTGGTCTGAAGCACTGTCCAGTAAGCTGGCGAATCCCACTCTGGTAAATTCCGATGACTAGGGGATGCCCCCATCTCACTGCGTCGTATATTGAGGTCTGATGACTGATCATCTGCTGCAGTATGGTTACCATACCATGGCCCCCACGGCAGACGAGGCACTGTGGATGATGAGCTGGTCCAGGGTTCAAGACTCTTGTGCTGCTTTGCTCTCAGGCGAGTCTTCCCAATGGACGCGTGGGAAGGAAACAACAGAGTGTGTAGTACTCTGATTGCTGTGCCAGTCTCTGCCTGTCCCCCCAGCTGACCGGTCCAGGTTACATCACTGATGGCAATGAAACGTCCCCAGGGTATAAACCGGCGAGTTCCGTCTGCCAAGGATGACTATGAACCTCTGGACGGAACCGAGGGTGTGAAGACAAACCGGAGATTGACCGAAGATTGCAGCTTGCAAAGGGCACGAGGTCGTGCCGGAGCACTCGGAGGGCGAACGCCTGGCAAGGGGCCCGCACCATGTCGAGTGTAAAGCGTGGCCGAAGAGCAGCAAGCCTCATAACGGGGATGTATCCACTTGGAGTGCCTGCGTTACGCTGGTCCAGATGCAAGTGCCCCTGGTATACACTCGGACCAGCTGCAGTGAGTCAGCAGGTGACAGGTTGTTGGAAGCCAACCGTAGAGCAGATCGACAAAGACCGTGGCACAGCCGAACCAACAGCTTGGGTGCAACGGTAGGACACCAGGGGGCCTTGGCATGATACTTCATGAGTAACGATAGCAACCTGATGCGTTGTGTTGATCTGCTGACAACACGTTCCACCACGTGCAGAAGGGGTCATCAGGGTCGGCAGAAGAAATGAAAGAGCCCACGACCGGGCATGTGAGCACATGATGAACATCGTGGCGCGTCGCGAGCCATGGTTGCCGCCGAATCAGTCTGCAAGCGAGCGGATTGGGAGGGTGTCGATGGCTGTTGGAAAGCCATGTAAGTGGCTGAGTGGGCGAGACCTTTGTTCACCGGCTGCAAACAAAGATGACAAGTCAGGCCCGGTCCCTGAGAAAGATGTCCTCTAGACAGCTTCGTCATCCTCTGGCCGCCGATTCCGCCCGAGAAGCCCAGCCTCCAGGAACGAGACTGTCGGACGAAGCAACGCGTGATGCAGTCCCACGACCTGTCCTACCACCCCTCAGCTTGAAGGGTGAGGTACCCCGTCGCATTGCGATACCTCAAGCCGGGCCGTGTCCCGTCAGAGTTTGGGCGGATGTGGTACCCGTTTCCACGCAATTGGGTGCTGGGATATCCCATCGCATGCAGTCACCCAGGCTCCCGTATCTCCTGCAACTGGCCTCGACTCGGATGCAATCAATGGGGAGAAGCCTAGATCCGTAGAGAGAGGTCAGCATCAACAGATCCATGCGCTCGCCTCAGAAGATTACCGCTCACTCAGTACAAACGGACTCACCGAAGGAACTCTGCATCCGCTCTGATACTGGGATCAGCCGTACCAGCCACCAAATTGAGGGTGCGGAGACCCCTTGGTCAAATATGACGGCGCTCGGAAGACCAGGAGACGTGACGTCTGTGGAAAGGAAGGAGAGTTTGCCAGTGCAGTCGTTGCAAAAAGGAAGTCACGTGGGGGAAAAGGATCTCGGTCTACTGTGTACCATCGCAGCTGGAAGAGGAAGGAGGCATTCTGGCACTTGAACCTTCCCAACTACCACTGCACCATACCATACATAGTACATACCATAAAATAGTACATGGGTACTTGAAGAAGAAAAATCACCACCAAAAAACACCGAAAGAAATAGCCCTGCAGCAAATCAACGGCGCTTATGCAGCAAGCTAAGCAGCCATCAAGAAGACAAAGTTCCTCGCTTTGAAACCTTGACATGGTCATGCAACTCAAACACTCCCGAACCCGCCAAATTTACAGGTGCGATGATGACGTAAAAAGAAGAGAGAATGAAAAGGATTAAATGAGTAAAGGCTTGGGAAAAGAAAAAAAAAATTGGAAAGAGAAGAAAATGTGGAAAGGGCGAGAGGCGAATTCCGGCACGCTTCCCCGATATTGAGCTGGATAAGTCTTACCGGCTCGTCTCCCCGGGTTGGCGATACGTAGATGGGGTTGCCATCGCTGAGCTAGTACCACTGCTACCCAGTATGAGTTGGAGGACTGATGAGGGTTTCTTGGAAGCTATGTATGCTTGTGTACGTGTGTAAGATTGCATGGCCTTTTTCTCTTTCCCTCTTTTGCTTTTTCTTTCTACGCAAATTACCAACCTGAGCAACAAGCTTTGCCACGATGGTACGCTGCCCTGTTGCCTCGAGTCAATCACAATAACAAGGCCACAGGGTTAATAACGAGCAATACCACGACAGATGACGCGACAGCATTTACTCAGCAAGCAGCAAGCACCCAGTAGGACGCCTCGTCCTCCCCAGCCAACCCTAGGATTGGTCGATCTCGGGCACCCCAAGCAGTTGGCCGTGCCCATGCACCATTGTACCCGTGCGAGATCTCGACGAGAAACTGAACGGTGTGTATGTATCTTACCTAACCGGAACCAGCTCTGTTGCCGAAACCTTCCAGACCTCTTCTGGCGGTCTGCACCAAGGCGCTCTTTTTCGGTGAGCGGCACAGCACAGGCAACCACGGATGTGGGTGAAGGGGTGAAGGGTGGCACGGGACAGGTGAAAGGGGGAGGAGGAATATCGAGGTCTCGATGTGGTTGTCCTATGAGCAGTCCATGAGAGGCAATACCCAACAACATCTCAGACTGTGTGTGTGTGTGTGAGAGAGAGAGAGAGAGAGAGAGAGAGAGAGAGAGAGAGAGAGAGAGAGAGAGATTATGTTTGCAGAGGAACCAGGCTCGGTCCACCTGGTGTGTGTCCTGTATAATATTGTTGCTCCATACATAACAGCAAGCACTATGCTGTTGGCACGTATTAGTTGGCTTTCTTGAAACACAAGTTCAAATCCGGGCGCTCTTCGGCCTCGGATCATCGGAGCTGGCTAACTGCCAAGAACAACTAAAGGAGGACAGACACCCGGCCCTTTTTTTCCTTCTTTTCTTTCCTTCCATTCCCATTCTCGTTCCCCCCGGGGGGTCCTCTTCGATCTTCGGGTGGCCCCTCAAAAGCAGTAGCTCGCGCCACTTCCCCAAGGAGAGAAGGGGGGGGGGGCAAATCAAGTCTGACAGGCGAGTCCCGTAAGGCGAGCTGCAGTCCAGGGGGGGGGGGAGGGGTTAGCCAAGATAGAGGAGGGCCCCCCAGGGTTACGATCGAGGTGTGCCAGAAGAGTGTCCGGGGGCGGGACCGGTTCAGATGGTCCCAGCCATTCGGCTCTGCCCCCTTAGCCCCTGAGAACGTGGCAGCGTGGCAAGCAACGGCTGGCAGCTGTCTCGAGTCCTGTCAGGTACTGGTAGTAGCATTGCAATGCCGCAACTGAGTGGGGACTAACTATACAGGCAGACAGGTACATGCTAGTACAACTACAGGGAGAAGCGAGAAGGAGGGGGGCACAGAGGAGGGGGAGGGGGAGGGGGTGGGAAGACAAAGTCCTACTGCTGCATGGTAACTATGGCAGCACACCCTCCCTATACATAGCACATAGCGTTCAGCAACTAGCAAGAAGCCTGTTCCTAAGGAGACGTCATCTTTTTTTTGAAAGAATAGTGCGTGGACCAGGGGGCGACGCCTTCTCCTGTTGATCACAACGGGGTTTCGGCAACCAACAGGCGAACGCAGCGGTGATTTCATGTTATGTACTTTATAGCGGAAGGGCAATGGCGAGGGCGAGAACAAGGGGCTGCACAGGGAGGGGGGATTGGTGGAGGTTGGTGATCAGCAGTCGGGGAAACGAACCGTTCGGCCAGCCCTTAGGAGAAAGACTGTACTATCCAGACATGTGGCCTGATCTGATCAAGACTAAAGCCTCAGAAGCCATGCAGGGAATACGTAGACAGGCCTGACTGAGAAAGAAAGGAGGGTGGGGAGGGGGGATAAAAATGATGCGATACAACATGGTTACAAGGGTGATTTCGGATAGGGAGGCCGGGCTAGGCTGGGCTGAGGTTTGAGGAGTGAGGAGGGATGAGGTATGCTGTAATCCATAGTACTACATCGCAGATGCCATAGTAGGGTTCGTGCCCAGTGGTCCAGTAGCCTAGAAGTTCAGTGGGTGGCCCCAGTATTTTTTTCAGTGCACAGGGCACCAGCAGGCACAGGGCAGCTCGTTTGCTGCAAGTCATAGTCGCATTCGTCTGAGGGCTGGCCTCCCCTGCCCGGATCTTACTATGTAACCCACCGCAAGAACGGCCGCTGGGGGCCTCGACCCTGGCACTCCTGGGCCTGGTCGCTGTCGCTTATTGTCACCTCAGGAGGGAAGGGTTGGGGTTTTCGAAGCGACCAGGGTGGGAACGGGGAGCGAAGGAGATGACATTACTTTAGAGGGAAGGGACAACGATATGTCTTGAGCGAAAATAAAAAACCAAAAAGAAAAGAAAAGACTCGGATGAGGGATCGTCAGGCTCAGCGCTGACAGGGGCCGTCAGACAATAATGCCCCGAGGCTGGCAAGGCGTATCTGTTTTCCTGGGAGGATAGGCTGCGAGCAAATCCTGTGTAGTGTCGGGTGACCTGCTGGGAAAAAGCATGACCTGGCACATGATGCGGTGACCATGTCGTCAATCCGCGGTGTGGGGATTAGCAATTTACACTGCAGAAAGGGATCGGGATGCATGCTTTAGCTATGCAATAATCGAAGGAAGGTGAGGGGCGTGGGAGGGCCTGGTCGACGATAAGGAAATTCAGACGCAGAAGGGAGGGACCAGGGTTCTCAAACCCTTTTTTAGCCAGGCACGTTCCTGATTTATCCCTGATACTGCATTACGCGCCCGAGTCCGTCTAGTTACAGAAGCAGGTCCCATAGTCAATACCACACATGGTACTATGGTACAACCATGGGGTTGTGCCAAACATGCATAGTAGTACTAAAAGAGGTAAGCGATAAGGCTGCGCGAGAATTTTGAGGGGCCTTGACCTGGGGCCAGCACCAGGCACGTACCACACGCAGTACTTACCCAGGTACCAACAACCAGCAGCACGAGCACTTGCACTTTAAGCACCAAGCGCAGGCGCCCTTTAGGCCCACCAAAACAGTTGGGACCACACAGCCCAGACTTTGATCCAGTGCAGTCCTCTGTAAACCTTCTGTGACAACCTGCAAGTCGGCTTCTCTTCCGGCTACCGGCGCTAACCTAAGGTACCAAAGGCATTGCCAGATTCAATTGACGGGGCGAGAGGGGCCCCGTTTCCTTTGTGTTGTTATGGTTACTAGTACTTTGCTGTATTATGCGCGCTATAGTATGCAACTAAGGCATCATAGTAGTACCAGGTGGACCAGGTGGTGGGTGCCCCCTGACGAGAGGCACCACCTTGAGTATTGATATTCTTGAGCAGGGCTCTTCCCTGTGCCGCAGCAGCGCTACTTCTACTCTAGGGCAGCAAGGCAGCTCCTTTCTGAAACCTGATTGATGGGTTTGCCAAGGTTGTGCAATAATAACTGGTAAAGGCTCTGCAATTTTTTTTTATTATTTTTTTTATGGCTTACATGAAATGGCAGGCCCTGAAGTGTCCCTTCCCGTGTCCATCACCGCTCTTTCTCCCGCCCGTCCAGTGCCACCATCAGGCTTTTGGCTTCGCAGGTGCCCGACCCGACCCGACTCCAATTGGTGGGCAAGTCAAGGATCTTCAGGTAATACGGCAAAAGAAATCATCGACAATCATTCATTCCTGCGTACATTAACCGTGCAGGAATGGGAAGGGGATGCATACGTTCTCGTGCGTCTTCGTGTCATCGTTCACGACGGTAAACTCGGAATTGAGATCTCCTCGTCAGACCGCTGAATCGCGAGACGGCAGGATCCCGCGAGTCTGTTGGTTCTGATGTCGATCACCACCATCATTGTCGTCCGCCTCGTCCAGGACAGTCAAAGGTATGTGTGCGCGTCCCGTCTGGGCTGTCGTAACCGCTAGGCTTTATCCTGCCGTCATGGAATTACCATTTCATTGGTCCTTCATTCGGGGCCTCCCTTTGGCGCACAAATCACGGCCAGCCCTCCAAATATCATCGGACTTCGCACGAAGAAAATACTACGTACCCATACATGGTATGTACGATAGTCACGATAAA